GTAAAACGGTTTCCAGGAATTCGGAATATTCTTCCAGAAAATATCTATCCCACAGTTGCAAGTTTGAAAATGTAGACTTTTCAAAACAACTAGAGGGTATAGAAACATATATTCCACCAGATAGAGGTATATATCAATATGAGGGACTATATACCCACCGGACGGGTTTAAATTTGAAATGTGACCTGCTAGGGGCGTCAACGTCACGACGAGTCCATTGTGCAGGGTTTGGTTGATTCACTCCGTGACATAAGCTTAGCTTCGGTTTTGACAAAAATCAAATTGGCAACCCTCCCATGCTTGGCTGTCCGCGTTCGGCTGCTATAGATCCATTTCTTACATTTAATGCTGGGTGGACATGGGAGCCAAGGTCATTTCTGAAAGAAAAGAAAATCTGACCTGATCTGATTCACAGAAATGAACACACCTGCTGTGTTTGCCCTATTGGTAACACTGTCGACGACCCATTATGAAAACAGGCCGTGTACTACCAGTGGGCTCATTTTTTCTTCTACCATACAGTACGGAGAGTTGGGGGAGGGGGAGTAGAAGATTGAGAGAAAGTTGAGAAAGAGAGGCAGCAGGAGGAGGAGGAAGAAAAAAAAAGAGATTAAGAAAAGAAAGTCGACACTGAGACATGGGGAACAAGAAAGGAAAGGAAAAAGAAAGAAAGAAAGAAGAGTAGAGATACCAGGGGAAGAAGGTAGCAGGAAGGGGGTGCGGCCATCCCGGTATCATCACTATGGGGGGGGGGGGTGTCATTACTGTACGGAGATACGACCACCCCGGGTGACATCGCTGTTGCAGAGGGGCGGGGGGGGGGGGGGGTGGCTGGTATTTGTTAATTAGGTCATGTCATCTGACATTAGCACATTTATATGATCGTTATGTTCGCCTTGCCAGGACACACAATATGATATCTATTAAGCCAGGCTCGTTGGCAGACAAATGTAAATGTATAAGGTTTTGGATGTAAAATAATCAGCCTGCAGACATTTTCATATGTTAAATAGGCGCATATCGTAGTGTATGTAATTGAGACATGCATATACGGTTAGGTCTCACAGTCCCGATTCTAGCAATATATGGTTGCTAAGCGATTCGTTCAGAAACAAAAACGTTATAGCGGTAAAAGGAAAAACATTGAGTCATTTCATCTTACTGGGTCGCAGCCGGGAATCCATGTTTTATGCATTTCCACCTTAATTTTTCTGTGGTGTTATCCGTCACTAAAATGTTAATATCTCCGCTTAGAATCGTCTTACAGGCTTAAGTAAGGCACCATTGGATTTGTAATTTTATTCTTTATCTAGCTGTCATGATTTCGTAAGTAAAAACCCAGAATATAAAACTTCACTAGCATCTCTAGTAATGAAAACCCGAAGAAGAACGACATTAAGAATGCCGGACTATATTTCATGTACGATATGGAAACACTGAAGTGAATCCAACTGACTGGAAATATCGACGGCTAGCCTGGGTGACACACACCAGACACCACAGGATGATTGTGGTGGTGATGATGATGATGATGATGATGAGGATATGCTGGTGATGCTGCTAGTAGTGATGACGGTGATGATGACTTTAGGAGGAGGAGGAGGATGGTGGTGGTAGTGGTGGTGGTAGTGGTGATGGTGGTGACGATGACGATGATGAGGATGGCGATGATGATGGTTGTGGCGATGACGATAATGACGACGACAATGATGTATCAAGTGTGGTTTATCTACATTGCATCTGATGTCGCACGTGGAACCAGACGACAAAGCTGACAAGCGAATTCAGACCATTCAGCTTCTCAGCCGCAGTCTACTGAATTCTACTGCAGGTGGCAGCTTTACTGACGACAGTGAGAATAATTAAGTTAGTTGCGTCTCCTTTACAGAATGTTGCAGAACCAACCGCAGCATGTGTGTGTGTGTGTGTGTGTGTGTGTGTGTGTGTGTGTCTGTTGTGGTTTTGCTAGGCACATTTTACGTCCAGTAGTTTGCCAATGGTCAGCTCTCGGTACCACTCTAGGAATCAACACAAGACAAATAGTCCGTAGCTAGGATCAAACCCGGCACCCCGACATTACGAAGCGCGTTCGCAACGCTTAAGTCACAGACGCCGACGCGAGAATAGTACAGGTTACAAAAAGACACTTTTATTTTTTTTCAAGTGCATCGGTTAATCGGTTAGTAACCACCCCCCCCCCCCAACCCCCCAATACATCTGATCAGTGCAGACCAGTCTCATTTGAAGCCTTTTTATATTATTAATCCTTTAGTCGTTTGTCAGTGTTTTCTTGCAATCGAAATCACGTATTCAATGAGCTAAAGAAAGACCAAGATGAAATTTAAAATGGTGGTAAAAAATGTCCCGTGAGAGTGTCCAACATGTGCAGAAAGTGTTGCCAAACTGTACAAATCTGTAACTTAGTAGCTGCAACGATGGAATTTCCTAAATGGTTCCTCAGTATTACGTAATAGGTTATGAGTTATGAGTTAGATTATCTTCACAGCACTCCTGACACATCTATAGGCGCCCAGACTCCCCTCGCAACATATTTATTAGCGTCGCGCACTTAGTAGTGCCAGTTCTATGTTGGTTAACAAGACTTCGTGTGCGTCCGGTGTGCTTCTCACACACATAACCGTAATTATCGTCCTTTAATAGCAAGCCGAGCAGATTACAAACACGCTCGCACACATATAAACACATTTTTATGTACACTTAATACAATAATGTTGTATGCTTTTAAAACAATCCAGTTTGCAAATCATTCACTGGACCCTGGGACCTATATAATATTACCTAAATTGTACACTTGAAAAATCAGAGACGCCATACACGAAGTTCAATAACTAAGCGACTCCTCGTGGATTTAACGATTCTGTGAAATTCACAAAGATTAGAAGAAACAAAGAAGACTGGGGTCAGAAATAATTCCGCAGCAAACAGCAACAACAACGTCAATATCAACAACAGCATCGACGACGATAGTTACAACAACAGCAAAAACTACAACAGTAAGAAAACTTAAAAAAAAAAAAATCAGTAGAAAAGTAACTACAGCAACAACTGCCAAACGGCATGGACAACAACAGTTGCACCAGCAGCAATAACAACAACATCAGTATTACCACTAACGACAACAACGACAGCAACTGTAACAACAGTAATTACATCAACGAGAACCCAGAAACAACAACAGCAAAAGGAAAAACAACAGCATCAGGAGAAAAAGTAAGAATAACAATAACAACAACCAGATAAACAGTAAAAACAACGACAATAAAACGATAACAACAACAAAAGCAACAGTCAAAACAACCACAACAGCTGGAGAAACAGTAAGAAAAACAACAGGAGAAACGGTGAGAACAGCAACATCAGCGCAATACAAACTGGAAAAACTGTTAGAACAAAAACACAATAGAAAAACAAGAGAAACCGTACGAACAACAACAGGAGAAATTGTACGAACAACAACAGGAGAAACTGTACGAACAACAACGAAAAAAAACAGTACGAACAATAACAGGAGAAGCAGTACGAACAACAACAGGAGAAAGAGTAAAAACCTCAACAGAAGAAAAGGTAAGAACAACAACAACACCCCACAACATCAGCATCAGAAAGAGTAAGAACAGCAACAGTAGAAACAGTAAGAACAACAAAACAACAACAACATGTGAAACAGGAAAAATAACAACAACAACGAGCAAAAAAAAAAAAAAGCAAAAAAAAAAAAAAATAACGACCAAGCAACAGTAGGGCATAATATTTATTTTTTATTGTTCGCCGATGAAGGTTTGTTGCATCAATATTCTCTGATTTGTGTACCTGTAATTTTGCAAAGCTGACCAATGTCAGGCAGCATGCCACATAACATAGGTGTTCATTTGAACTTTGTAGTTAGAGCGTTTCTCTAGTAAGTCGATGGCCGCGGTTCAGTTCTTTTCTTCTTCTTCATTTCTCTACTCCTGAAATGACTCGCGGCGTCAGGGTAGGAAGAGATCTCTGGAACGTGTCCTTCTGTTTGCTTTGAATAAAATACTTTTCAGTGTCTCGGATATATCTGCGGTCCATCTTCTACGTGGTCAGTCTATGGATCTGTGACAGTTGTATCTGTATAACATTGCTCTCTGTGGTGCCCTGTCTGATGTCAATCTCGTTACATGGTCAAACCATTTGATTTGTTGTCCTTGCAGTTATCAAATTTTTGTTCTCTCTACAAGCTGGATTCTGGACTTGAACCAGGACATAACCTGAATACGGGATGCTTGTCAGAAATGTTACGCATTTGCCTGAGTGGGAAAGGACACTGAAAAGGGGAACTGAAAATCTCAATTCACTTTGCCGAAGTCTGAATTATGTTAAAACATAACGCTTCACACCCACAGGCTGTTTCTGTTGTCTTTTTCTTCGTCACTGGCTGTAAACTCTGGTGAAAAATTGTGATTTCTTCCTCCATATCTGGACTTTGATCTTTTTCCAGAACATGAGCTTTGCGTGCAAACCCATTTTAAATTTCTCGCTTGTTTCTATGTAGACTGTTTTTTGTGTCCTCCGAGTTAAAAGGAAACAATTCTAATTAGTCGTCTTGTGCGACATACTTGTTGGGGGGGGGGGGGGGGGTGGAAGCAGCGAATATACCCCCCCCCCCCTCAAAATGGTGCCTCTAAACCCACAGAGGGAGATTTATACTTCAATAATAAGAGAATCGTTTCCACTCCGGGTTATGGTTTTTATGATTTAATGTGGTGCTAAATCTATAGTATTTTAGACCCATTGACTATGGATGAATGATCTGGTAATTTCAAACTTACTTCATTTAATCTTCCTAACATGTCTTTGAATTTCTCTTTCGGGCTAGGTCAACCGACAAACCAAGATCATTTAAAAAAAAAAAAAACCGCTTTGATGGGGTTTCAAACATACAGCAGTTTGAACAGGCAGGCACGCGCACTGTGCTTTAGGTCTAACCTTATTTATAACATTTGAAAAAAATGTTAATTGACCATGCTCTGAGACCGAGATCTGAAAATTGGTAGTTCTAAATAGTCACTGGAAGACTTCAAAGTCTCGTTAAGCTTAATCTTCATGTGCGTCCCTTTAGTTAGCGTCCTTTCACTGCCAATGTCAAGTGACGTGTCACTGTATGATCGGCCAGTAAGTGTATGGAAGCCCATCTCATCATTGTTTCGATAGTTTAATTTACGTACCGTCGGCTTTAAGATTTTAAACGCACATTCTAGGTCCTCACTGACTGTCATAATTGCCCCACTGTTGAAATAAATTCCAGCATAATTCGGAGCAGAGAAAATTGTCACCAACTGGCGTTTGGTGTAAAATCGGTAGCCATCTTGTGCGACATCATGAGCTCTGCAGACTATTTGGAGGTCGTTATCGTTGAGAAATTTCTCCACTGTGTCAGATCCAAAGAAGTATGAGGTACCTCGGACGTCGTTGAAGTGCCACCCCTTCATGGCAGGATCTGGGTTTGGGTCGGCCCACACCAGGTCTGAGATGAGACCTCCCTCTTCGGGAATTTCTGTTGGGCGGGCAATTCTTCTAACATCATCTAGCGTGTGTAATTCTGGGCTGAGACCCCCATGGCAACAGAAGATCTTATCGTCGACAGCCGCAGCTAGGGGCAGACAATTAAAGACTTCATTAAATTTTCGCCAGAGAGCCACATTGTACCTTCGCTTACACTCGTCGTAAAAGCCGTAGTTGATGTTCACGCTTTGTTCCTCGTGGTTGCCTCTAAGGAGAAAGATCTTCTCTGGGTATTTGAGCTTGTATGCAAACAGCAAACAAATCACCTCCACTGAGTTACGTCCCCTATCGACATAATCTCCCAGGAACAGGTAAGATGTATGTGGAGGAAAGCCGCCCATGTCTAACAGAAGGAGTAGGTCCGAGAATTGCCCATGGATGTCTCCACATATGGTCACAGGTGCAGAAATTTCTAGCAGGGTTGGCTGTTCTAAAAAAACATTGGTCACGTGGTCAAGCAGCGCGTGGATGCTGTCTCGGGACAGTTTCACCTCTTTGCCAGGACGATTGGTTCTCACTGAAAGTGAAAGTCAAACATAATATTAGAGTCACCAAGGGACAGGTCAGTTAGGGATTCGTGGTAGTGCAGCTGTTAGCACACCAGACTACCAGCAGCTTGGTGATATCGGGCTCCGAATACCCATCGAATAGGAGCTTTACACATAATATATTTTTCAATGTTCACCTAATCAAAATTTTGCACCAGAAAATGGTATGGAAAGTAAAGGCGACGGGTAGAATTTTGACTACTTAACCCACCAAGCGCATTTGCGACACATGGGATTAACTCATACACACACTCGCATAGACACGGGAGCCGACACATCTATTTATATATGTATATATTTATAAACATGTGTGTGTGTGCACGCGTGTGTGTATATATATGTATATATATATATATGTATGTGTATATATATATATATATATATATATATATATATATATATGTGTGTGTGTGTGTGTGTGTGTGTGTGTGTGGACAGAAGTGTTGCATTGTCCTATTAGGAGACAAGGGAATAGCAGCCCTTGGTGATGGCGAGTGTGACTAGCTTGCGTAAAGGGAAGTCCCACAAAGAGAATATGCGGTGGCCCTAACATGTATGTAATGTACTTCTTCTCATACTCTCACCTCTTAACCGATCTGCAAACACTTTTATCCTTTTAGATATCCGACTATACATACCTCATATATGTGTGTGTGTGTATATATATATATATATATATATATATATATATATATATATATATATATATATATATATATATATATATACGTTCAGACATGCGTATGCAGACTTACACAAATAAAAAAAAATTATTTAAAAAAAAATAAACAAACACAAAAACAGATACTGAGGGTGTCTTCTTCTTCTGCCTTTCTATCCCCCAATGGAGCATAAGCCCTCAACCAGCTCACGCCAAGTGGTTCTATCCTTCGCTATTACATGGAGCTCTCCCCATTTCTCTCCATCTTTCTAACTTCATTCTCCAGCTCTCTTCTCCATGTGTTTTTTGGCCTTTCTTTATTCCTATGTCCCCGTGGGGTCCAATGCAAAGAATTTCTAGTTAAGCTGTTCTCCGGTTTTCTCAAATTGTGTCCTATCCAACACCAGCGTCTTTGCCACACCTCTTGGTCCACTTGAGCTTGCTTAGTTCTCTCCCAATGCTTTACATACGTGATTCTATCATACCATTTAATGTCCTTTATTCTGCGCAGGCACCAGTTAATTATTGTTTGCAATTTATTAGTAATTGCCTTAGTTATTTTCCATGTTTCCACCCCATACAAAAGTACTGATTTGACATTAGAATTAACAAATTTTAGTTTAGTATTTCTTTTAATTTCTTTTGACCTCTAGAAATTCCCTAGTGCCATGAAAGTTTCTATTGCCTTTTGTATTCTTATTTTAATATCTCTATCAGTTCCTCCATCTTAATCTACATTGCCGCCCAAATAGGTGTACGACTCCACGTCTTGGAGTAGGGTGCCATTAAGAGAAACCACATTACTATTTGCCTGATTTATTCTCATTATCTTTGTCTTTCCTTTATGGATTTTCAGACCTAGCTACTGTGATCTCGTATCAAGTATATTAATTTTATCTTGCATGTGATTCTGTGAATGGGACAGAAGGGAAATATCATCAGCGAAGTCCAGATCATCAAGCTGATTTGTAGGGGTCCATTGAATTCCATTCTTGGTGTTAGCAGTTACTGTCTTAATAATCCAATCTATAGCTAGTATAAATTAGGAGAGGTGACAAAAGACATCCCTGTCGCACACCTGTTTTTATTTCAAATGTATTATTTGTTAACTTTCCCTCATGAAGAACTCGACATTTCATGTCTTTATGTGTTGCGATTACCAAGGTAATAATTTTCTGTGGGATTCCATAGTGCCCCATCAATTTCCACAGAGATTCCCTATCAATGCTGTCAAATGCTTTTTCAGAGTCTATAAATCCAATATAAAGTGGTGAGTTTAGTTCAATGCTTTGCTCTATTATAATACGTAATGTGGCTATCTGGTCAGAACAGGATCTGTTTGACAGAAAACCCGCCTGCTCATCTCTTAGCTTTTTATCAATAGCATCTTTTAATCTTTCCAAAATTATTCTACTTAATATTTTTCCAAGAACTGACAGCAACATAATTCCTCTATAGTTTTCATACTCCTGTAGATCACCTTTTTTAGGCAGTTTCACAAGAAATCCTTCTCTCCAGTCTGCTGGTATTTCTTCGGTCTCACAGACTTTACTGAACATTTATGTAGCGATTCTGTTGATGTGTTTATTTTGGCCCTAATGGCTTCTGCTGGAATGCCATCTGGACCTGCCGCCTTTCCTTCATTGAGAAGATTGATAGCTTTTCTAATTTCCTCTTTGGATGGTATCTCACAGTTGATATCCAGTTCCATTTCTAAAGGTTGGATGTCCGGAGGAACCTCTGAGCCTGCTCTATTTAGAAGCATTTCAAAATATTCAACCCATCTGTCCATTTGATCTTTAGTGTTAGTAAGTACCTTTCCTTGGCTATTTTTGATTGATCCAGTTGTCTGACTATATTAACCTACTAATTTTCTGGTGTTACTGTAAAGTTATCTGATGTTTCCATTAGCTGCTGCTGTCTCCGCTTCTTATGCTAGATCATTTAGATATTTCACTTTATCTGCCCCTATACGCCTCCTAACTTCCTTATTGGCTTCTGTGTATTTTTCCTTTAGCAACTCTAGTTTTGCTATTGTTTAAGTCTGCCTTTTTACTTTTACTTTCTTTAATCAATTTAATAGTTTCTGGTGTTATCCACGCTTTATGTTTCCGTTATTTCTTGCCAAGAACTTCTACACAAGATTCATTCCTGATTCCTTTGATCTGATTCCAACAGACTTCAGTGCTGACATCTTCAGCTAACTGCTGCAACACCTGGTACTTATTTGAGACTGTAACTGAAAACTGTTCCTTAACTTCGTTATCCCTGAAATAACTACATTATACTGGTTTCTATGATTATAAGGTTATTAATTTTTTTAAATTTCAACTTTATTTTTACTTACCACCAGAAAATGGTAAGTAAATACACAGGTACCTCTGAAAGCCCTAACATCGCAAAGGGATGATCTAAACTTTTAGTTAATACATAGGGGATTAATTTGATTGGTTGTCTTATGGTCTGGCGATTCCAATGTTGCCTTGTGTATTCTTTTATGGGGAAAAATACTTCCATCAATAACATACTGGTTTCCTGCACACAAATTGGTAAATAATTCTCCATTTTCATTCATGACTCCTAGACAATGTCTTCCCATAATTTCTTCATAACCTGTGTTATCTGATCCTATTTTAGCATTCAGGACACCCTTCAAAACTTTTAAATTGCGCTTTCTTTCATTATTTATAATATTTTGAAGCTGCATGTAAAATTCTTCCTTAACATAAACATCTTTATCATTTTTTGGTGAGGAACACGTATTACCGATATATTCACTTTCTGTTTCGCTATTCTAAAGGACGCTTTTATTATTCTGGGACCCACAGCTTCCTATTGTATTAGCGCCCTGTCTGCTTTTTTTAAATAGCACCAGGGCCACTCCTTCTCTGTGTATTGCGAATTTTCCTCTGTGTGTCCTGAGAACAAAATAGTTTCCACTGAATTTAGAATGCTTTATCCCGCCCCAGTCTTCCTAGTTTCACACAACCCTAAATACTAATTCTATAATGTTTCATTTTCCTTTCTACTTCCTTTCTACTTCCTCTGTTCTCCCTATATCATAGAGAGTCCTAACATTCTAGATGCCATTTCTGGAGGTTTTTCCTAGCTGAGAGGAGGTATGTCGACGATCCGGATTCCTTTCGGGTGTGCAAAAATAAAATAAAATGTTCTTGAATATCCAGAAACAATGTTTTTTTTTTTTTTTTTTCAAACAAAAATATATCCACAGAATGATATTAAGAGCAGGATGAGCCAAACAAAAACTGTATTTTCAAATTTGAAGCTCAATTATAACTTGCCGTCCTTTTTAGGACGAAATTTTTCGTTATTTGAAGCCCCACCCTGGCTCTTGCCAGGGGCCGCAATATAGCCAGGTCATATATATGGCCAATTGGCTGAACGCGGTTTCTGGGACCTCTCCACGGTGATTCTCGTCCACACGGTGGCACTTGCTGTCATCGGGTGTTTATCGCTTGTGTGATGTGGGGTAGAAAGTCAGTCAGTCAGTCAAATATGAAAAGTATCTAATGTTGTATAAGTCTCTTCAGGTGAATGTTAGAAACTGAGCATTCACAGTTTAATTCAAAGTGTTCAGGTCTGTGTTATTGATTCCTGAAATGTGATAGAACAAAGTGTTCAGGTCTGTGTTATTGATTCCTGAAAAGTGATAGAACAAATTAGGAAACCCAGAGATAAAGGTAGGATGTATTTTATAAAACGAACATTACTAATAGCTTGGACAGCCATAAAAAAGGTAACTACATCTGCCCGGAAAAAGCTAATGAATGTAGAACTTTGTATGTGATTATATTTTTGAAAGTCTAAGCAGTGATGTTAGGTTGTGTAACATCAAGTTAAACATCGGAGAACATTGCGAGAACCGGAAATATCATCGGTTAAAAAAAAAAGACCAAGGGGAACGAAGCTGGGTGGTCAAAGATGGTGGTGGCATGGGGAAATATAAAAAAGAAATAACACAGAACAAAGTAAGTTCTGGAACAAGGCTAACAGCAGAAGTGGACGAACAACCAGAACTTCCCATCGAAGTTTACAACCGGTAAACGCTAAGAGAAAGAAGAAAACGAACGAACCGACGAACGAATGAACGAACTTTATTTCAAAGACGAAGCAAAAGAAGAAGAAGAAGAAGAAGAAGAAGAAGAAGAAGAAGAAGAAGAAGAAGAAGAAGAAGAAGAGGAGGAGGAGGATGAGGAGAAAAGGATGCCCCAGAACACAAAGGATCTTTGGTAGGACTTTAACGCCTGCGTCATCACACTCTGTCGGCCCCATAAGGTAATAATTATTACAGGAATGAGACAAAATGACAGCCATAAAATCATACGTATACTTCAGCCACAAGAGCCAAATTCGTGTAGGAAACGGATATGTTGTTTAAGTATTTAGTATTAGATGAATACAAGTAAGATCTATATGTAAACATACATTAATGAATGGTGAACGCGAGTAATATCAAGTCACGTATGGTGCGTTCGTTGGCACTTCAAGACCTAAGTGACATACCTGACAGCAGCTGGGAAATGATCTTATCCACATCGAAGCTGGAGGAGTCTGTCATAGTTCACGAGGCTGTTACACTAAATTTAGTAAAAGAATCAACTTCTAATCAAATTATGCCTAAACTAACTCTGACATAAATCAACACACAGACTCCTTATATCCCTATTAGATGTAGCTGAAACTATCAGTAGTTTAATGAGATTTACGAATAATCTTTTAGTCCAATTTCAAAGCGTTACTTGGCTGAATCACTGGCACCAAGCACAGGCCAATCTTATCTTTTATATTGTAGCACCAAGAGGTGCTGGGTAACCAGACTTATATTGGTCGCTGACTGTGAAAGATAATACACTTTTATGAAATGGGGTATCAGAAACACAGGGTGGTAGGTTCCGCTGATACAAAAATGACTGAACATTAAAAAGAAGTTACTAGGAAATTTGGCGAAAGGAAATCCACATTAGACAACAAGCAAACGCGAGGAGAACATTCTGTAAAAACAGACCAGCAACAAAAATACTATACATAAAGCACATAAGGGACGCCAATTTAAGAAAAACAAATTCGGGGGGAGGGGGGGGGGGGAGTGGTGGGAGTCTCAAGGAGCCAATAAACATTGTTTAAATGGGCAAATTAATTATGTGACGAAGATCAAATAAATTGTATTTGTATGAAATAATGTGAAATATATAAAAACTAATTAGAAAATGAGCTTCTATACAAGTGTTTGGGAGCGCTGCTTTCTTGCAAATGTTTTCATGTGGATAGTTTTGGTTTTGTTTATTCAACGGATTAACATCATGTAACCAATAAATGCCCCATTCTACTTCTAACTCAAGCCTGAGTCTGAAGAATCTCAGCGCAGTGCACGATCTCTGTTGCACCGGCGAGGATCCTGAAATACTTTGGGTGGATTTTTAGCTCAAAATTTAAAACACTACCGTTAGAGTACTCTTTTTCTGTTTCCAAATGCCAGGGTATTTTTTACGTGCGTCTTACTACCCAGAGACCAGGGACAATTATTAGAAGTCTATGTGAAAAAATCACAGCTTTCACCGGTGTTTGAACCCGGGACCTCCGGTACTCGATGCCATACCTAGAGAAACGGCTATGCACACCATTAATTATTAGTGAGGCTTAGCGCCCGCATCGTTAGCAAATGTAAGAAAGGGGTTTGCGGGGTGGGGGGGGGGGGGGGGATTGCCTGAGTATGGCATTGGTTGACATTATTGGAATCGATGATTGATGTAAGTCTATTTGGTCATCGAATCTAGATATTAAATGACAGCAGCACGTGATGAATTTTCACTAGCTGTTGTTTATATTGTGGCAATGGTGATATTTGTTTTCATTGCCGTCGTCGTAGTACTATTAGTATTAGTAGTAATAGTAGGAGCAAATACAACAAGTGGCTTAATCAACTCCATTAGCGAACACATTTAAATAGTTTCAGATCATTACACAAATTCGTATTATCGACTAGGACCCAGATGTAAGTACTGGAACCACATGTGATAAATAATTTTACTGGTTAAAAACACAACCGGTTAGGGTAACCCGAGAATAGTACTATAGAAGTAACACATGTGGATATGTCAGTTGGGCGTTTTCTATTTGAAGATTTGGCTTCCAGTTAATTAGCAGTTCAGTAAGTGTCACTCGATGTAGCAGGTCAACGGTTAAACCACAGGTCTGTGACATCATCAACGTCTGATATAGGTTATCAGAACTCGTGACACCAGACACAACAGTTGGTAGGTCCTTTAAGTGTAGGACTTCTTACACTGCATACAGTGAATCTTACACTATGGTTTCAAATGCCGCCAGCTTCTCGTCGAATGCTCAGCGTAGCAAGCAGTCAGGCAGAAAGCAGGGAAGAGAGTGAGAATGAGAAACAGAGAGAAAAAGAACGAGCGACAGAATGGAATAACCACTATGTACACCCATGATAAGCTGAAAGCGCCGTGAAAATGACCCGTGGAGAAGCCAGATTTCTTTAGCATACTCTGACAAAATGTATAGTGGAAGCGATGGCTGATAGGTTTAGGTTTAGACAACGGATCAACATCATGGCACAAGGGTGGTAACCCATAAGTGCTCTGTTTTACTTGTAAATCAAGCCTGAGTCTGAAAAATCTCAGCGTAGTGCGCGAACTCCGTAGCACCGGCGAGGAACTTGAAATACTTTTGGGTAGATTATTAACTCAAAATGTGGCCTGGGCAGCTACTCTTTTTCGATTTTCAACTGCCAACAATACACACGGGCATCCAATCTTACTACACAGAGACCAGGGGAAATTATTAGAAGTCCACGTGAAAAAATCCCAGCCTTCACTGGGGCTTGAGCCCAGGACCTCCAGCATTCGAGGCGACGCCATACCTCGAGACAACGCAGCATCCAGCGATGGCTGAGATTCGTGAGGTGTCTGTGGTAGGTAATGAGATGGTTCACGATCTCTTCAATCTGATAGGCAATGAGATGTTTCACGATCTCTTCAATCTGCTATTAAATCAAAAGGAGCTAAAACTATAATAAGGATAACAAAGTATAACATCTGATCGTGAGTCATTGACTTATACTTGTTACATCATGGAGGAGCTTGAAGCCCTGCTTCGGAGAATACATATTCTTGCACACAGTGATCCAAAACAGGTTTTCATCATCAGCACATGCTACAGATCTCGTCAAGTTCATGTGACCCAAGAGCCATATCCGCACAATGGTTTGGTTCTGCCTAGATGAAGCGAACTCATAGAGAATAATTGAGAGTGGACATTACAGCCCTATGAGTAGATAATTCGCCTGCTTAATAAATGTCAACCCACTAGTTAGCCCCACTACTTAGACACCCAAATGTCTCCTTTCCAGTGAAACAGCAAATGAATAATGGCATTTGTATCCATACTTTATGTTATCAGTGCCAAAAACTGACGAGTAGGACACTAAACAGAAAATAACAACATGTGAAATGCCCTGTCTCTGCAAGGTCACTAAGAACGCAAGAAGAGACAGTGTTACGAATGCCAGCATTAGAGAGACAGTTTAAATAAGACCATGTCTAGATTATATTGACAGACAAAGAATTAAATGGTTCAACCATCTAAGAATGCAGCCAGACCAAACTGCATATGATACCTTTTACAGAAGAACATCTGGGAAAAAGGCGCGAGGATGACCAAGAAAGATGCCGATAAATGGTGTAGCTGACACCTGCAAAAAGATGAACAAATCCATCACCCAAGGCACCTGAGAAGCACAAGACAAACACACACAAAAAAAACCCCCCACAAAACTGGGTTTACAACCTTGTATCAGTGAGATGAATAAAGCACGATATTGGGTTACAACCTGGTATCAGCGAGACGACAAAAGCACGACATTGGGTTACAACCTGGTATCAGCGAGACGACAAAAGCACGACACTGGATTACAACCTGGTATCAGCGAGACGACAAAAGCACGACACTGGATTACAACCTGGTATCAGTGAGACGACAAAAGTACGACACTGGGTTACAATCTGGTATCAGTGAGACGACAAAAGTACGACACTGGGTTACAATCTGGTATCAGTAAGACGACAAAAGCACGGCACTGGGTTACGATCTGGTATCAGTGAGACGACAAAAGTACGACACTGGGTTACAATCTGGTATCAGTGAGACGACAAAAGCACGGCACTGGGTTACAATCTGGTTTCAGTGAGACGAAAAAAAGCACGGCACTGGGTTACAATCTGGTTTCAGTGAGACAACAAAAGAAAGGAAGAATAAATGTCCCAATATCAAATCATAATTTCACGATGTAATGGTCTACTGCTGGAAACAGAAAAGGAAAAAGATGAAGAGGAAACAAACGTGATTGCTGGAGCAAAAGCAGCACCAGCAGGAAGAGGAGGAAAAGAATGAGGAGGAGGAGAAGTGGGAGGAGGAGAAGAAGAAGCAGCAGCAGTAGCAGCAGCAAAAGAAGAAGAAGAAAAAGAAGATGAAGAAGAAGGAGGAGGGTGATAAGGAGGAGGAGAAGGAGAAAACAATTAACTGAATGTTTTTTTTTAAAAAGTAGATGATACGAAAAAGCAGAAGGATGGAGAAATAAGAAATAAAAAAAAAGTTTGGTTTGTTTGTAAAATAGAAAGAAATGTATTTCTTTGAAACAATAAAATCTAATTAAACGTTCATAGAAATATGTTAGCCATGGTGAGTGCTGATGGTGTTAATGGGCTGCCAAGTGGCCCCATCGTCAAATGGGTCCAGTCTGTTGTTGGGATCCAGGTGTGGCGCAGATGGCCGGGTCTGGTAGTGCGCCCGGGTGTAGGACAGCAGGTAGCGGTTGTTCGCGTCAGAACTGGGGTGTTCCAGTGACGTGCTTCCATTTCCGGTTTTGTCAGCGCTGTCATACTCTCTCAGAATCCTTTAAAAGATAGGCGACACTTTGAGGTAGTGAACAAATGAATCTTAGCTAAACTATTACGTTTTCTGAATATTTCAAGAAAATACGATTTCTTTTATGTTTAGCGACCACATCACGCGGTATTAAAGGAAATCCCATATTATGGGATTGGGGGTGGGTTGGGGAGGGGGTGGTTAGGGTTAGTAGTAGACGTCATTCATTTACTACAAACACTAATCCTCTGTCAGTACCTGTCCCTTGCAGAACCTTGCTCCCATAACAACTTCCGGAAAACTTCTCGATCACAAGCAAGATGTCCCCCGCTCGATACACCCATCTGGAATTCATCCGCCACATCCTGCACCCATCTTCTCTTTGGCCCTACTTTTTCTCTCTTCCCAAGCATATAACCCTCTCTAAACTTTCTGACGTTTCAAGTGACCAAAATATTTTCAATTTTCTGTGTTTTATAGCATTTAATAGCCATCCTTCTTAAATATTCAGTTCTTGCAGCATGGATGCATTTGTTCTTGTCTTTATCCATGATATTCTTAGAACCCGTCTATACAATTTGTATTCAAAGGCATTTATGTGCTGTTCAGCTAGTTTGCTAATTGTCTCACAGCTGTATGCTGCAATGGGAAAGATGCATCCTCTTAGAAATCTAAATTTTATAGTTCTGTCTGTCCCAACCCTAACCCTAAGTCCCCTATAATATGGGTTGTCCCTAAATCTCGCATGATGTGGTCGCTAAACGGAAAATGAACCGAAAATACTAATGTTGATAGTGTTCATTTATTTTACACAGAGAGATGAAAAAAAAAAAAAAAATCCTGCACGACACACATTCCTCTGAAGTGCGAAGTGTTAGATGTTCAAACTTGCTAGCCAAAGCATGATAAGATAATGTAGATAAGGTGATTAATTCTTTCCTCACTCCTTCCCTGCTAAGGCAATTCCAACGATTGTCAAGTACCGATCTATGCTTGCGCAGAGATTTGAACACAGAATCTATCACTGCTGGGGTCTGAACTTGAGCCACCGGACAATGGAGTAGGTAGGTGTTCGGGGTGTAAGACGCCCGTTTTATCATATAGGGGTAAAAGAAAGGAAGGGTGACAAAACGGCCAAAATATGTGTTGTATATATATATATATATATATATATATATATATATATATATATATATATATATATATATATATATATATATATATATATATATATATATATATATATATATATATATATATATATATATGTGTGTGTGTGTGTGTGTGTGCGGTGAGATGCTGACCACATCACCCATCGAGTGCAGACTGGTCTATAAAAAATAGGTCTAGCCCTATTTGCCCAATAGACTGAAGACTTGAGAGGGGTCATTCACTTTTACTTTATGTCTATACACACACACACACACTTTTATATAGGTGAACAGAACTTTTCCGCACCGGGTACCAGCAGACCTTGCTACGCCTGTGCCACTGTAGAGATGGCACAAGAGACATCGACCGAGCCAGCGTTACCTTATAAATAGTAAAGGAGCCGTTTCCATGTCTTGATAAGTATAGTATATGGTCCGGAACTACATTCTAGAGACCAAAACACAATAGATGCATTGCGTAGTCAACATTACACTAGCCATTTTTATTCCCTATAACAGTTCCTGATATTAATTCCTTTTTAGGCTAAGTCGACCAGACTGCCCATAATATTAAACGAATGTTTGCATATCCAAAGTCCCGATCTGTCAGCCACATTTTGTATCCAGGTTTTTCTTGGTCTGCCTTTTCTACCCTTACCCAGTAACAAGCCATGTAGCATCGTTTTAGAGAGACCGCTAGTTATTATTACCAGTTCACACTACTGCGTGTCTGCCATTTAACTGTTGTCAAAACCACGTCTGGATTATACTGACAGGCAAAGAATGAAATGGTTCGGCCATCTAGTGAGAATGCAGTAAGACCAGACTGCATATGAGGCGTTTTACAGTTTTTACAGTAGAACATCTGGGAGAAAGGCGATAGAAAGGCAAAGAAAGAGTTGGATAAATGCTGTAGCTAAAACCTGCAAAAAGATGAAAAAATCCATTACTCAAGTCATCTGAGAAGCACGCGACAAATATAGAAAACCACGACACTGGGCTACAGCCTGGCATTAGTGAGACAACAAAAGAATAAGAACTGTTGTTAGAAGAGTTTCATAACTGCTAATGCATCGAGTTATTATATTGCAAACGTTCAATCCAAACCAAGACCGGCTCCAGCTGACGGGCCATGCTGCTGAGGTCACCTAACTAGGCTAACGATATTTTTAAACGTACCGTTAGCCCGGTTAGGTGACAGTAGCATGGCCCCTCAGCTGGAGCCGGTTTTGCTCAAAACATGATATGAATATTTATTTCTGAATTATCATCATGACGTGCCTTGTCAGACAGTATATGCGTTAATTCTATCTCGAGATATCGACACGCGGTTTTCAATACTGTCTTAGATAATCTAACGTCATGCCATTCAACTGGCCTGCACCTTTCCCACTGCTGATCCTTTATATCTCACAGTCAACTTTCCCTATCTTCACATCATCATTGGTTCATAGAAAGCTTTACAATTATTAAGTTAACATCTGGCAATTTAATTCTCCAATTATTCGTCCTCACTGATTGACAGTTCCACATGTAGGTTCTGACGCCCCATGTGGGGTGGGGGCCACAAATTCACTGCCCTCCTTACAAGCATATAGTAAAAAGAGACTAATTATAGGCGTTTCCTTCGAAGGAGTGTCTGTCTAAAAGGCGAGGACCCAACAGCCTGCACACACAAAAAGCCAGATCTATAAAACGGATGTGTACCTGAAACTTGTGAAAGTTCTGGAACAAGACCAGTCCAGAAATAGACAAATAACCAAAACTTGCCGCCGGAGTTTACAGCCGGTGAATGCTAAGAAGAAGAAGAAGAAGAAGAAGAAGAAGAAGAAGAAGAAGAAGAAGAAGAAGAAGAAGAAGAAGAAGAAGAAGAAGAAGAAGAAGAAGAAGAAGAAGAAGAAGAAGAAGAAGAAGAAGAAGAAGAAGAAGAAGAAGAAGAAGAAGAAGAAGAAGAAGAAGAAGAAGAAGAAGAAGAAGAAGAAAAAGAAGAAGAAGAAGAAGAAGAAAAAAGAAGAAGAGGAGAAGAAGAAGAAGAAGAAGAAGAAGAAGAAGAAGAAGAAAACGAAGAAGAAGAAAAAGAAGAAGAGGAAAAGGAAGAAGAAGAAGAAGAAGCCGATTGATAATAAGTCAACCATTGAATCAGTCTGTTAGTTCATTTATATTTTGAATTTATCTATTTATCTGTGTGTTTGTCTCAGAGTCTCTCTCCCACTATTTTTAACATTCGTTGTGGTGTTAATTCATAAAATACAATCTAACATGTGTTTCTCCCTTGACAGACAGTTTTCCTAATGGAAACACAATGACAAGCTCTTGATAATCTTCTTCCTATTTTATGGCAGCTGTATGATAAGGCAGACGTGGTTAGTGCCTTGTGGAAGAGCGTGTACAATTCGTAGGAGCAGATGGATCACTACAGTCTGGTGAGATTGATGCAGGGGGGAGTGACAAAAGGTTCTGGCAGATGCTTGAGGCTCAGAGGAAAGGCAAGACGGGCGTTTAATCAGAATGCTACTGGCACCATTAGTATCCGAACTCTTCACTGGCTACTAAAGATGGGGACGGACCGCTTATGGAAATGTAACGAGTGCTGTGATGTGGGTCTTGAATCAAATCAAATCAAATGGCAGTCGTCCATCTGCTTTAACCTGCCAGTTGTGCCGACAGTTTCCGGTTTACTTCCCTTCATTATATTCGTAAGGATGTGTAAGATCTGACACAGGTATTCAGTTCTTTTACCGTGTTGGCAAGAATGCTTTACTAAAAAGTGACCTTACCTGAAGAACTCTCCGTCCTCGCTCTGAAGAACCACAATGCCAGGTTCAAGTTCAAGGGCATACAAAGGTTTCAAGGTCGGCAGTAAGGTATTACTTTTTCTTGACTGACTCCCGTCAACTCCTGCATTCTTTCTGTCCAATATCAATGTGACAATTGCAGTTAGTTAAATGGCAACGAGGAACTGGACAACAACGAGACAACAACAACAAAAAGACAATTTAAAGCGTGCAATGTTTGTCGGCGTTTGTGGCTTAGTCGTTGCGAAAGCGCCTCAATGCTGTGTTCGAACCCAGCTGAGGACTGTTTGTCTTGCGTTGACTTCGACAGTTGTTTTAAGAGCTGACCGTTCAGTAGCAATGGAACATTCATCATCATCATGTAGCAGGTCCTTTGCAGAACGTCGCTCTCATAACGGTCTACATGAAAGAAACTCGACCTCTTGCCAGCTCTCCCGTCTTATGTACTTTCATACTCAAGGAGTCACTTATATCCTGTGCCCATCTTCGTGTTGGTCGGCTCCTGCCCCTCCTTCCTGGTACCCTGACTTCTGGAAAATAAATGTGCCCAGAAAGACCAAAATAAACCAAAAAATGCTGGGTTTGGTTCTGTAACGTCCTGTAAAAGATACACAACTTTAAAAAAAAAATGTTTGAAACAATTCACTTAGGAAGTTGATTTGTAAACCGGAGTTATTTAACCGCCACTCCTGGACATAATGATGAGAAGATTATTACAGAAGCAACAAGGGAGGGGTGGAGTTTAAACTGACGTGCTTGGGATGTCCCGTTTTCAGCCCAATATATGACTAGGATCCCCAATTTTCAGCTCAAGATATTATGTTCACTTCATCATGTGGCCACACTAGGTTTCGCACCTGTCTGCCTAATGTAGGTAGGTGTAGGTGTGCACCAGTATCTACTATTTCAACAGCTAATTTTTATATACTTGACACGAACTTGGCTTACATAAATACCTGTAATATGTTTTAATGTAAACAAAGTGTTTGCAGCAGATTGCACAATTTATTATCTAACATATCCCCATTAATTCCGAGTTTGTAGAGATGAATTTTACAGCACGCTCACCCGGGAGGTGCACTCAAGGAAGACAGTCTTTACTACCTCAGTCCCATAGATAGAAAGGAGGTCTTTAGCGACGTCAACCTCGGGCATCGGGTTTAGCATTGCATCTCATAGTGGGTCAAGGGGGCACTAATCAAACAACCCACCCACACATGATTACAGGCTGCTTCGCAAACCGTTTTGTGGTGCCCTAATGTAAGTGTAATATATGGCAACAAAGTTGAACGGGGTTTTCGGGATTCGTGGCTGTTTGATTCTAATCACTGGGAGGTTAGTTGCGTATCCTTTACAGGACGTTGCAGAACTAACCCCATCAGCCCCCGGTTGTTGTGTGGTTTCACTAGGCAAATTTACGTCCAGTAGTTTGCCATTGCTTTCAGGACGATCGGCTCCCTGATACCACTGTCGAAACTAACGCAAGGCGTATCCCCCGCAGCTAGGATCGCCCCCTTTACCCCGGCATTACGAAGCATTCGCATCGACTTAGCCACAGAGCCGACGGTTAACCCTAAAGAATGCAAATTTGGAGGGGAAAAAAACTTTATAAAAGATTGGATTCGAAATCAACCAGTCAACAGCATGGATGTAACAGTGACAAAGAGGTGATCAGTAACAGTGACAAAGTGGTGATCAGTGTAGAATTACCCTATGTGAGTTCTAGGGCCCCGTTGTGGGGAAAACAAGAATATAATTCTGTCTCCCTGACAAGCATGTCGCAAGCGTAGACTAATTAAGGCCTTCCTTCTAAGTCGAAGTGCATCTGCCTGAGAGACAACGAATCAACAGTCTGCACATAAATAAGCCATATCTGTAATACGGATGTGCAGGCAACACTCCGGTTTTGGAACAAGACTTTAAGTCTAGAGGTGGGCGAACAATCAGAGTTTTCCGCTGGAGTTTACAGCCGGCGAACGCGAAGAAGAAGAAGAAGAAAGCGAAGATAAATTACTCCCACCCGGCGACTAATAACAGAAGAATGTAAAGAGTGTGGAGGGAAAGCGCACACATACCCACAAGGCCATGTCCATAGGTAGTACAGCACCAGACAGAAGGTTGATATGATTATGAACGCCAACAACAGGTGACCTAACTGAAATCCTGCAATCGTAACTCTGGAAAAAAACAACATCAACCTGTTTATTACAAACATAAAAAATCACACATATGCACACATACACTCACACAATCGCATATGCAGACAAGCACACTGCACAATCGCATATATGAATTATAAAAACGCGCATACATACACACATATATAACCACTACACATGTGACCACATACACTAATCCACTCTGATGGATCATGCATTCAACTAGTGCTGCCAATGAACCTCAGTTGTACCCCATAGGAGGTCATCCGAATTTAGGTTCCAATGCCTTAAATGCAGCATCAAAACAAAATGGTAGGATAATTGTACCCACGAGTGGGTTCTGTAATAGGGAAAGAAAAAAAAAAAGGGGGGGGGGTGGGGACACAAGTCGGGACACAACTGCCTGAGCGGCGAGGAACCAGCAGTCTCCAGACAAGTAAGCACACTAGAGTCTAGAGAAACAATGAAAACTGAAGGAAAACAGGGTTTGTAACAGTGGCGAGATGTGATCAGTTTACATGTGTAGCGCCAGCAGGTAACGATTGCATTGAAAACTGTATCATGTGATATTATCGTCATCGTCGCTTTACTGTTGAGAGTATGCGTGCGCAGCTAGCATTATAGTACTAGAAACTGGTAGCTTTCATATCTTCCAGTTTCGGCGTGAGTGGCGTAAGGATGCAGCGAGCCTTCTTTTCGCTATGTTTGAGACGTAAACCGAGGGGATTTTATGTAATAAATAGTAAACTTACAATAATTAAAACAGTAGTGCATTTTTCTTTGCCAATAGAAAATGTAAGTGTCAGTTACAGCTGTTACACGCACGACTCGCCACGGCGGCTTCTTCTTCTGTGTTCACCGGCTGTAAGCTCCGGTAAAAAGTTCTGGTTGTTCCTTCCTTTGGACTTTGGTTTGTGCCAGGGCCTGAGTTTTGCGTGCACATCAGTTTTACTGGCTTATTTGTGTGCAATTGCTTGTTCCTTGCCGCTCGGGCAAGGGCACTCAGACTTCGAAGGACGTTCACAGTTAGTAGACTCCTATGACATGCTTGTTGGGGAGGCAGTAGGTCTATTCTTGTTTTCTCCACAACGAGGCCCCGGAACCCATACGAGGAGCCTCACCACTGATTGGAAAGGCCATTTCCATATCAAACGGCAAGTGTACATCAAGACACGGTCAACTAGAGGGTCCTTAGTTAAAGGTCTTAGTAGGAACTCTGTTCATATTCCGCTCAATCCTCCGCCAAGATGGCTTTCAGGCATTGTTGACAAACTACTCATGATGGTATGTTTTGAATATTTCGCTTTAGTGTAGCTGTGTTGAGTTCAAATAACGCGGGTGTCTTAGGGACAGAAGTGGATGTTATGATTGAGTCGGTAATTACAATACGTTTAGGTTATGAGTAAGTTATGACTGAGTGGGAAACCACACCAAACGATTCGAAAATCTTTAATGTTGTTATCACTGAGTTGGGCGCTGTAATAAACATATGCAACACAAGCTAATATCATAACTATTCAATTATCGAAGCATTTATCCCGACTCTCGTGGAAATTAGTCACAACACTGAAAGAACGTTACTTACTCTGAATATTCCATGGTGTAATATTGACTTTTCCCTGGATAACATCATGTTGTTGATAAATTATTAATAAAAATCATAATAATAATAATCAGCAATCATGTTGTATCAGTCGTTTTTAAATAATGCGGACACAAACAATAAGTTGCAAAGTTTATTGCCTGCAAATTTCGCTGGATCTCATCAAGTGCATTACTACAGGGCGATGATTCGCAACTGTATTGACTTGCGCAGCCCTTTTTTAAAGAATCAGTTTCTATGGCGCAACCTTTCAGGCCTACCATACCCTATGTTGTACAAGATAATGGTGTTCAGAAGTAATTTCTGGAGGCAGAGGAAGATGAGATAGATAGTAAGGGAATTTAAAGTAAAGAGGTATATATCTAAACAACTTCGCAGTGGCAATGCAATTAAATTTGAAACACTTCAAAATTTACTGTAATGGTCACTTTTTTTAGAATTATCACCAATACATGTGATATTGTCAAAACATGTCCATATTTTCTAAAGCTACCCCGCACCTCCTTAGAAGTGCATGCGCAGCTTCCATTAAGCAACGGGTGGGAAACCAATCTTCTTCTTCTTCTTCTTCTGCGTTCGACATCAGTCATGCTAAACATTGAGTCCCGTCTGGGTCACAAATAGGATTGTGCGTTTAAGGTCGCCACCGGTCCCCCATACAGCTTACCTCGCAATGTGGATCCCCTGGGCCAAATCCACAGTCTTTGCTGGGATTTATGGTAAACCCATCAATTGGCATCAATAGTGTTACATCAACATACAATGAAGCTCACGAAACTAAATTCTGTCCATCGAAATATAATTCAACTGTATTTATTGTCTGTGTCCAAATAATAATTATTTATATTATTATTATGAATTCTTCTTCTTCTCTTCTTCTTCTTTTTCTTCTTCGAGGTTACCGGCTGTAAACTTCGGAGGAAAGTTCCTGTTGTTCGTCCACCTCTATTTTCTTGTTCCAAAACCTGAGTGCCGCATGCACAACCATTTTACAGATATGACCTATTTTTATGTAGACTTTTGATTCCTTGCCTCTCAGGCAGATGAGCTCCGACTTCAAAAGAAGCCCTAAGTTAGTCGACTCATACGGCATGCTTGTTTGGGGAGATAGTGGGTCTATTCTTGTTTTCGCTACAATGGGGCTACGGAACCCACACGCTTGCTGTTGAAGATAGGCAATGTTCAGCGTGCTATGTCGGTTTACAAAACATCTTCGCCGTATCCGACCAAATTTTAAAAATACGCTGAGCGATTGGCAGATAACTTCATTATATGAAATATTTATATAAGAACAAACGTATTCAAATTTCTGAAGATAATTGTAAACAAGATATCTAGTTCAAGTAAAGCATTAACACCGTCACATAGAAGAGAAGGACACACGTTTCACTAAAACTACGACACAAATAATAAACTTGCAACAGACTGGCATACCTCAATGTTCACGCCATCACAGATGTTCATACACAGATGTCAGTGTATGTGGCTTATCTCGCAATACGAGTAACTAACAAGTAAGCCTGGGAAGGGCAAAAGAGGTGGGGTGAGTGCAGTTGTTGCTAAGTCGATATTTATGATTACATTGATTGTTTTTCCGGACTATGATAACGCAGATGTGACAGTTTACTTGTGTTCGTTTTCAAGTCAGTAGTTGGTGGTTAAGTAAACTGTTTCTTTTATTTATTATTCGAGTCTTGTGGTATTGAGTTGTTCATTGCTGTATGAAATATTGCAGCATTGCAGCAGAGGCTTGGTGATGATGATGTCTCATTCCTTTACTCCTCTCCCCAGGCAAGAACTACACGGTTTCTGGTGGCATCTCCAGAGTGTACAATACGTGGGTTCTTATTTAAACTCGCAGACAGCAGAGGTCGCAATGTCAAGATCTGGTCTCACATTGAAGGCAGGGACTCCAAAAAAACAGAGAACGTGGGGTGGGGGTGCTTAGCTCTGTCACACATTTTCTAGGGGTGGGGCTACGCTCAATCATTGAGCGAACATTGTGCGTGTGCGCGCGCGAGTGCGTGTCAAATGAAAACAAAACTATAAGGGTACTCTAAGTGCACCTACGAACACTCACATATACAATATAGAGTAAGCCCACTGGTGTACTGCCTTACCATGAAGCTAGTCAATCTCCACATGATCATATAGCCAACATACCTCAGGCAGAATGCCAATATATGAAAACTACAACAATTTGTTCGGGCCTAATACAGGAGAAAGAAAGAAGCATCAGTCAATGGAAACAGCGGGAGAGGGGGAGGGGTTGAACAATTTAGGCAAATCACATTTAAAACACATAACAATGAATGGTTAACTCTGCGGAAACAAATGTATTTCGACGCTCTACAGTTTCAAATTTAGTGTGATTTCAGCTTTCAGTTTATCCTGTCAGAGGTGTTCTAAGATGACTGCTAGTTAAAACTTGAAAATCTCTTCACCATTTTTTCTTGGCGTTCATCTGCTGTAAACTCCGGCGAACAGTTCTGGTTGTTCGTCCACTTCTGGACTTTAGTCTTGTTCCAAAACTTGAGTTTTGCATGTACTGCACATCCATTTTGCAGATATGACTTACTGATATGCAGACTGTTGGTTCCTTGGCTCTGCGGGGTTTTAAGTGCCCCTCCCCCCGATATTTTAATGCAGATCATCATATCTCGCCTACGTAAATCATTGACGGTATAATCATTTTAACGTATACATGTAAATGCTTGACGGTCAATACGAGAACACAATTCTAATTCATGTACACAACAGATGATATCAATACGAGAACACAACATTCATACTAACTTATGTACACAACTGAATATGTCAACACGAGAACACACGTTATAACTAACACATTTACACGACTAATTATGTCAGTACGAGAAAACACATTTATATTCACACGTACACGACTAACTATTTCAATACAAGAACACACATAATAAGTTACTCACGTACAAAACTATGTCAATACAAAAACACACATTATAAGTCACTCTCTCCGTGTGGATTCCGGGTTCCCATTGTGGGGAAAACAAGAACACAGACCCACTGCCTCCCCAAAAAGCATGTCGTAAGAGTTGACTAATTGGGTGCTTCTCTCAAAGTTGTAGTGCATCTGCCTGAGAGGCAAGAAACCAACAGTCTGTATAAGTAAAATCTTAAAAAGGATGCACACGCAAAACTTAGGTCCTGGAACAAAAACAAAGTTCAGAAATGGACAAACAACCAGGTATTTCTGCCGGGGTTTATAGCCGGTGAACGCAAACAACAACATAAGTCACTCACATACACGGCTAATGATTTCAGAACAAAAACACACATTCTCAATCACTCACGTAGACGACTAATTATGTGAATATAAGAACACACTTTCTCAATCATTCACGCAGACGACTAACGCTGTCAATACGAGAACGCACTTTCTGATTCACTCACGCACATTACTAACGATAACAATATAGTAACACACATTCTAACTCACTGACGACCTCTGTGGACGTTAAGATGATCGATCAGTAATCTGCTCACAGGCCGACAGCAACAGCTGTAGCTAGAATGAATGTTGTGTGTTCCCTTGTGTTACGTATCTACACACTTACGGTTTGCACGTGTTCAGCGATCAGTGTGTTCTATTCCAGAAGCTATCTCAACACTTGACAACGCGGTTACTTAATTTTCAATAGGCTCCTACAATCTGTCTGGTAATTTTACTTCCTTTGGTCAGAGTTCTGCCATTTTCTTGAAAAATTGTGATCGTGTAGGATGTACCCTACTGCTTACTTAGCTCTTAGCCGCTGCAAACAGTAGTTTTTGTGAGCCATTTTGGCATGTTATACGACTCCACAGTCTATTGTTAAAAAGAAGTATCTTGTTTTGCTCACGGACTGCCCAAATTTGAAGCATACGTCATTGCACGTGATGTGACGAGCAAACTGAGCAAATATTCCAGCTTGTGAGTAGAACCCAGCTGTTATCATGATGAACTTGTTCTATGAGTGGTTTAAATCATATTCCTTTCTTTGCCAGAGGTGTGCAGCTAACAAAGGTATACCCTAACTCTTCCCTGAGGGCCGAAGAAGGGAGGAAGCACATGTGGGTACAGTTGAATGAGTAGCTCATTAATGGTTGGTTCAACCGAACAAAGTCCTAGTCACGTTTCCCGGCCCATCTACACACTCGCTGACCTTTCATTCATGCTTTCTCAGACTGTTCAATGTCACAGAGGTGTCATGTTATTTTCCCTCTGTTACATTAGCACCAATGTCACGTGTTCTATACTATACAACCACAGCTTTTAACGACCCTAGAACATTTTGAACTGGTCCTAACCCAAAGCTCCCTAGCCGCAGCACGAGAGACTCTTTTTGAAGAAAACGGTACAATGTGACACCACTCTGACCTATGCCAGACTGAGAAAGTGTGTAGATGGGCCGGGAAATGTGAACAGAACCCAGAACAGCGTGCACATAAAATTTCCACATAAAAAAAAAAATTTGTTACACATGGTCATAGTGAGGAAAACAAAAACAATCTGAGAAAGAATATGTGAAAAGTAAAGAAAGTTAGAAGTGTAATACAGAAAAAAAAAATTTCAAATGCAATCTTGATACCAATTTTAGGTTATCAGTGTCAGATTTGGTCTTTAAAAAAAGAACAGGACAGAAAAATTACCACCGGTGAAAGAAGAAGTTTTAGAAAGGCTGCAAACAAAACTAGAAGAATTGTGTGAGAAGTAAAGAGATTAGAAGACAAATTGGAACAATACTCTTTTCAGAAAACAAAGACTAAATAAAATGGTACGACCGAATAGCAAGTATAAACCAAAAGATTCTGGCAGCAGGAGCATACAACATCCAAATGGAAACAGAAAAAAAGCAGATGCGAGACCTAGAAGAAGATGGATTGAAGGAGTTACTGATGCGTAAAAACTTACAACACAGCATAACAAGCAACCTTTACACCCCTGCTCGACTACCTTTTATCTATTGAACTGCAACTTCTCACAAACACACACAGCACAGTTATTGACAAAAGAACCTTAAAGAAAAATATACAAGCAAAAATCACAGGAAAACAAAGATAAGGAAGCAATTCATAAGGAAGCAGAAGAGACAAACTGATTTGATTTCAACATCCTTCTGTGTATCATATGTCACACAGGCCTCAGTCTGTTCTCCCATCGCACACCAGTAATGATAAAACAGAGACAGACAGATTAAAAACATATTATTTTTCTACAAAAAGAAGAAAAGCAGAATTTCAGTCATCTGGATGAAGATTCGAGATCACAGTATTCAGGACAAGGCCATACTGGATCTGTCTCTCTTCTCAATAGCCAATGAAAAGTCTTCATATTGTAGGTACCCATTATCAATCAACAACCACTGCAGCAAGTCTGAGATGAAGGAAAATCATGACACCAACATGACAGAACAAATGTGAATGGCAACATCAATAATTTATTGACATCGAATACAATAAGAAAAAAAAAAATTAAAGCATGGAAATTACAAGTCTACAGAAAGTACATGAGAAGTGACTGAAAATTGGTGGAATACTTAAGGGCAATGGATAACAATTTTGACAATTTAATTTTAAAAAATAATACACATACAATTCTAATTGTGGGGTCTTCTTTTCATTCTCCCTGCCAGTGGTTTTCAGTTGCTTCTGGGCATCTTCTGTACAAGCTTCTATGAAAGCTGTGGTGCCACACATTTCTTCTACTTTAACCCTTTAGCTCGGTTTCTACTAAAATTCAAAACAGAACAGGGATCTCTCTACTGCTTGTGGAGTCTATGAAAGCTGTGGTGTGATGCATGTTTTCTACTGAGTGATTCAGCTCGGTTTCTACCAGAATTCAAACTGCCCAGAACAGGGATCTCTCTACTGCTTGTGGAGTCTATGAAAGCTGTGGTGTGATGCATGTCTTCTACTGAGTGATTCAGCTCGGTTTCTACCAGAATTCAAACTGCCCAGAACAGGGATCTCTCTACTACTTGTGGAGTCTAAGAAATAATTTCTTACTTTACAAGAATAATCAAAACATGCAAATGGGTGGGAACAGATTGTGAGAGGGTCACATGTGTAAGCTGTATATATAATTCAGAAGTGTTTGTGTGTAGCATATGTTGTGGAGTGAGGTTTGTGTGATGTTATGTTGTGTGGGGGTATTTTGTGTTTATAAAATACTGTGGGGTGACGGTATGTGGGTGTGTATTATGCGTGGCTGGCGTATGCATGCACTGTATCCGAGTGGCATATGGTTCTACTTGCACATATGTAGCGCATCCTGGCACCCAGTTGTTTGTGATTTTGTTGCATCAGTTATTATTGATCACATGACAAAAATTTCAGTGCGATAAAATTAACATCATTTCTTGTCACAGCCAGGTCTAGACTTTTCCTATTCCAAATGACATAATTTGATTGTGAAACTGCCAGACAACAGATGTCAACTAGCAAATACCAATGACATATGTAACACACATTTGCAGACTTGTTGTCAAGTTTTATATGTAATTTGTATTTATTCTTATACTGTTGTTACAAATGACATAATCTAATTGTTACAATTCATGCCAGCATGACGGTGACCACATCACCCACTGACTGCTGGTGTATAAAATATAGGTCCAGCCCTATATGCCCAGTCACCTGAAGGTGTGGAAGGGAACCTTTACAATGCATAACAATTTGAAATGTTTTACTGATGAAAAATATTAAAAACGTAAATTATTTTTGGATTTTATCTATTCAGAAAACTGACACCTACAAAGAAATATTGTCAACAGAATTGAAGGAGGTTAAGCCAACTGACAGGGCACATCATGATGATGACAACTATGGGCTCTCCTGTAAACTACGGCCAGTAGACAACAGTTGACAGCCGGTTAGTCGGAGTTCTGTCCCCTGGCTGCAGTGCAATTACGGACTGGAGAAGCCACGAATCAAAAAACAAAGTGAGGTCGAAATGCCTGGCAGAACTCCCGCTGCGACGCATTACCGAGTGGATTAGAGGGAAGGAAACAAGTGACATAATTACTGTGTGTTGGCGATAGACAGTGTGCAGTGCCCTACTGTCGTCATACTGTTAGGGTTTGGGTTAGGGGTAGGGTTAGGTTTAGGTTTAGGGGTGGGGTGTGGGTTAGGGTTAGGGGTAGGGTTTAGGGTTGGGTTGCTATGTTGAGTTTCTGCAAAGACGAAATGCGGTGACACTAACCGCAACGCTAACCCTAACCCAAAACGTGATTATAGCAGGGCAGTGCACGCTGTCTATCGCCTACACACAGTAATTGTGTCAATTGTTTCGTTCCCTCCTTTTCCACTCCGTAATTGCACTGTAGCCAAGGGACAGAACTCCGACTAACCGGCCGTCTACTGTTGTCTACCGGCCTTAGTTGACAGGAGAGCCCAACTATGACATCCTATCACAGTAAAGTAACTGAGGTTACAGAAGATAAGGTTCACTATTTTTAAAACAGCTTAAATAAATGTAAACATAGGTGCTTTGTCTTGGATTGAAATCTCCATGGATGACATTTAAAAAAATTACCTTGGCTCACAGGTAGACGGACTTTAAAATGGGTACCAGGTAAAGTACCGAGAAGTAAAGGCGGCCGGTGTAATGATGACCATATCATCTATAACATGCTGATTGGTCTGAGCATGGAAAAGGTCCTTTACTTACTTATAAGTACTCTTAGATAGACCATGCTGGTTGTGCAGTAACTTGCAAGACAACAGCCTAATTAAGCGAATCTACGACAAACGTTACATTTTTGAAAACAATATGTGATACTACAGATGCGCAGACTTCAAATGCCTAGATCAATTTGTTCTAGCAAATAATACTTGTTCAACATATCACACTTAACATGTAAGAATCAAAACATTTATCAAATTTATATTTGGTCATTTAAAAAAGAAAAAAACAGGGTTTTGATGGCACATTTCAATTGTAATTAATGAAGTGTACACCAAACTAACTTAAGTGCTAATCAATTTTCATGTCTTGAGTAATCAACAGTTTTTAAAATGATAACTATTAATTTGCTTGGCCACTGCTATCTCTCTGTCAAATGTTAACTTGAACTATTTCATACTTTAACAACTAACACAGCATCATAAACTGTTCATGTTAACTGTTTGTATTCAGGAATAATTCAATATTTAGGTCAGGGAAAGACTGTTCATTAAAGTTTAATATAAATGATAAATTGCTACTTGCTAGCCGTGGTCAGTTTATTCCTGTAGCATCACAGTCTTCAAATAGGATGACAAATAAACCGCAAGTTAGCCAATGGGACTTAAGAGAGGAGGAAAACAGTTTAGAGGATGACCACAAAACATTACAATTTACAGCTACAGTGCACTTGAGGAAATCTAAACTTACTGCCTCCAAAAGACAGCAGTGCCTGACTAAAGGAAAAAGTATAGACTAATGAATGTTGAACACATTTTGTGTTGTCTAATGTGTTCTATTTTTCACTCCTCTATTTCTGCAAGTTAAAATAAAAACCTGCTGAATCATTACTTGTAGATTTAGCAATGACGAAAAGGATTTTCCAGCACTGGCCATTTCTGTGTCTTCAAACAACACAGTGAGGACTGTAACTCAAGATGTACCTTGGGTAACAGAGGTCAGGGAGGACATTTGTTTACTCAGTTTTCCCACTCTGTTGGAATGTGGGAGAATAGCTGTTGTTACTAATGGTGGTCCCGCGACGATGAGGAGGTAACATGGGTTATTCAGGCTTTCCCATAGGTTGGAGTATAGGGGAACAGCTGTTCCTTAAGGTGATCCTCTTAAGCTGGGGTGTGAAGAATATTTGTTCTTACGATGCTGGAGTATGGAAGAAGACTTTTACTCAAGGTGTTCCTCTCACTCTATTAAAAGATAATGTTTATTACTACAGGGTTTTCCTCTTTTGCTGGACAATGAAATGATGTAACACTTGTAAAGTGTTATTTTGATGTCTGGGTATGGATCAAGCTTATGTGCATGTAACTGCTGTCCACAAATACGACAAACAGAAATAGTAACACATCAAATATAAATCAACTAGCAACAAGTACAGCATTTAATTCATAATATAATCCAAATGCAGTGATTTAATATACAGTGACATAAAAGTTAAGCTTTCAATTTATCCTGTGTAAAAAAAAAAATAAGAGAAAAAAAAAAAAAGAAAGAAAAACATATTAAACAAAAACCAAAATGACTTGAAAGAATATCAGAAAGTGACAGAATGCAGGTCTGCACAATCTTCAGCGTCAACATCCTCTAGCATACATCCATGACTACAGATTTGTGTGTTCTATCCCAATGATGTCACTCTTATGGCTAGCAATAATTTGGAAATCAAGAAAAAAGGAAATCCATGAAGACACATGGATGTGTACTTGACTCTCTCCCTCTGTGACTGAGCAGAGTCCTTTGTCCTTTAGTTTGACTTTTTCTCAGCTTCACTGTATGCGGGTGGTGGACCACTGTAGTTAGGATAGGCTGGTGGGGCCATCGCATGGGCAGCCGGGGCATAGAAGTTATGTTGGTTGGATGGGTCATAGTAGGCGCTGGCTGCTGCTTCCTGGGCCTTGGCATCTGGGGATTTGATACAAGAACTGTGATGAACCTGAAACTTACTGCTATTGTTTGAGATATTAAAGTGTGAATGAGGTCAAGATTCTAGAACAGGTCAGTACTTGTTATATAAGCTCATACTGTGTAATATAGGGCATCTCCATCGCAAAGCGGTCAGGCTGTTTGCCTCACTCGCTGAATGTCATAGGTTTGTTTGACTTTACCATTCAGTTTGTGAGTGCAGATTTTACGGAGATGCTGGTGCTAAGGAGTTCCTGCATTGTGTGACTTTCTTGGCAGACAGCTAGCTGTTTTATAGAGACTGAACCATTTGAGATAAAATCAGTGACAAGAAGCTGATCCTCTCACCTTTGATACCATCTAATTGTTGATGTTTTTTAGAGATAAGCTCTTGGGAGTGCACAGGCATTTTAATGATCTGTCTCCCCACCTCCTTTTCCACAATAACTATGCACCATGGTGGTACAGTGGCTGGCACACTTGCCTGCCTCTCACGTGTTTGCGTGAATTCCCACTGAGGCCTACATTTTAAAAAAGAAAGTTGATTAGGCTTTCAGCTCAAACTGGGTACCAACCAGGAAATGTTTTAGGAAGTAAAGGCACCCAACATGATACTGACTGATTTCACCAATCAAGTGTTGACTGCTATCTACAGACTCTGGACTATCAAAATATTCACACAATAAATTTGTGTAAAACAGGCTGCTTTAAAAAAAAAAAAAGTGTTGTGATTTTTCCATCATTCCATGGGAAAAATATCTGGCAAACTCAAGACAGACTTGCAAAATGTGTTCCAATATTTGTTCTGCTGCAATGGCATTATTCGTCTTCTTCTATCCCCCCCCCCCCCCTCCCCACCAATCAGGCTAAGTCACCCTATGTTTTGCTAAATGGGGCAATCTAGAGATCCATTCGAGTCCAAAGTGTCTCGTTTCCATTCATTTGGTGAAGGCATGCCCAAGGTCCAGTTCACATCCATGAAGTAAAAGTATTGCTTTGAGTTCACACTATCCTTTTCCAAGCTCAAAGATGCTGATCTGCTGTTATCTGCCCCAGTCTGCTACAATGACACTACCCCTTCCCACCCACACATTCTTGTGCTCTAAAAGAAGCTGGGATGTTAATAATCATGTTTATATAAAAAAGACCTGGGAATATTTTTAAACACAATAATGAATGTTCATTAACACAGATATTAAAATAGAACTACAATGTTGGTAAAATGATTCTTACCATGCCCGTTCATCATAGGAGCTGAAGGTGATGGGTATGCCAAGTTTGGATCCACTCCGGGGTATGGAGGTGGAGCTTCACTCATGAACACGGTCTGGGCTGAATGGGGAGATATACAAATAATCAGTTTCACCATTATTAGGTAAAAGATCTTTTATTCCTCTTTTTCTAAGATATTAGTTAGAAATACAAAAAATAAAAATTACTAAACTAAAAATGTTTAATTCTAATGTCAAATCAGTACTATTGTATGGGGCAAAAACATGGAGAACAACCAAGGCAATTACTAATAAATTACAGACATTCATTAACTGGTGCCTGCGCAGAATAGAGGGAATTAAATGGTATGATAGAATAACTAATGTAAAACTTTGGGAGAGAACTAAACAGGCTCCAGTGGACCAAGAGGTGAGGAAAAGTCACTGGTGTTGGAAAGGACACACACTGAGAAAACAGGAGAACATCATAACTACAATGTCTTTGCATTGGAACCCACAGGAGCATTGGAATAAAGGGAGGCCGAAAAACACATGGAGAAGAGAGCTGGAGAATGAAGTTAGAAAGATGGGGAGGACATAGAGAGAGCTCCATGCAATGGCGAAGGATAGAACGACTTGGTGTGAGTTGGTTGAGGGCCTATGCTCCATTGGGGGATAGAAAGGCAGAAGAAGAAGAGATGAATGCTCCTTCTCCTTCTTGTTCACAGGCTGTAAGCTCTAGAGGAAACATCTGGCTGTTTATCCACTTCCAGACATTGGTCTTGCTCTAGAACTTTAGTTTTGCATGCACATCTGTTTTACAGATTTGGCTAACTTGTATGCACGGTTAGGTCTCACCTCTCAAGTAGATGCGCTCTGACTTCAAAGTAAACACATCTAAATAATCACATTTGAGGACATGCTTGTTAGGGGAGACAGGGGGTCTATGCCCCCCCCCCCCGGGACCTCGAAAACCACATGAGGAGAGAAAAAAGCTAAAATGAGACAGTGAGAGCTGCAGGCATCACACAATTACAAATGAAAACCAATAGGAAAGGACAAGTACAAGTTATGGGATACATTGTCAGAAGTGTAATACACAAACTAGCCTTATGTAAGGAAATGTTAGGAAAGAGAGACACAGGTAGAGAGAGGAAGACAAAGTATTAACTTTTTGGCAATTAAAAAAAAAAAAATATGCAACACAACTTTATTAAAACATCTACAACAGGAGGAATCAACTGCAAATGAGAGGAGGGTCTGGACAACTGTATACCCTGAGAGGAAAAGCAAACACACTTTAAATTTGGTTGCAACTAATACCATCAGTTTAGGAACTCTTCACTGGCTAGTGGCAAAGAGAATGGAGCATGAACTAAGATGTCCCAAATGAAAAGATGAAAGTTCTTGACTAATTTATTCATTCATTCATTAACAGAGAGGAGTGATCTCTCATGTCTTTTCCAGATCAACCACATAAAGAAGATTTTTATTATTATAACTATTATAAATATTGGAAGAGGTGGTGGCAAAGGGTTTATCGAGCCAGCCTCTCCACACAAACAATGGCTGACACACTGCCTTCGACGCAGTTCCATCCACTACAGTAGAAAAACCAAGTTTAGATAAGAACACAAGTCATTAAAAACAATGATCCATTCTCAGAGGTTCTGCCTAGTGATCATGTGAAACCCAACTGAAAAACCATGACATGACTTCAGCACAGCAACAGTGCCTGACTTCACTTTCAGGTAGGAAAGAAACAGAAAGCAATACAGGAACTTGTCATCTCATCTCAAACTTATAACTTTCTTCCTCTTTGGTCTTCTTCAGCCTTCTTCCCCATGCTTATCTCCATGTCCAGTCTCTGATATGTCGTTCTTACATGCAACATCTAGTGATTAATCCTGAATTGTCTTTCTAGAAACTTAAATCACAACTCCATTCACCTGACACATACTACTCACGTGGTGGAGCATTTGGAAATGTGTCATACGGCACCCAGGAATAGAAAGAGTTCTGTGGAGGCTCATATGCAGGAGGTGGGGCTGCATAAAAGCCTGCTGTGGGTGGTGGGGAGTAGGGAGGTGGATTTGGTGGTCGATTCCTGGAGGCTGGGGAGGGGACAAAAAACATTTTAAGCCACACTAAGCATTATTTTAATTATGGACTTAATAATTATTATAATATATTAGCAATTTCTCCAGGTTCTGGACTAGACAATTCTTTTGACTGTTTTGGTTTCCATGAAACATGACCTATTCTTTTGACTGTTTTTGTTTCCACGAAATATGACCTATCTTTTCACTGTTTTCGTTTCCATGAAATATGATCTACTTTCAAAAACTTAAAAAAAAAAAATACCAGGCCTCTTCTTCTGTACATCCACACCTCAGAGACTCTTTCTTTTCTTCTGCGTTCATCCGAAGTTCTAATTGCATTGTGCCCGTTTACAGCATGGCTGCGATATGTGCACCTTTCGGCCAACACGTCCAACTTCTGCGGGCATTTGTAGATCGGGTTAGCCTTCCCGATGAGACTCAGTTTGATTTTCTAGCTGCTTGTTTATAGCCCAGGCTTCTGCACCATACAGCAGGGCTGAGTATACATACAATCTGACGATACACACTCTTAATGAGCTGTCTATCTCTCTAGTAGCTGTCAATAATTGTAGCACCATTTTGAAGATATTTTCAGCCCTTCTTGTTCTCTATTTGTTTCTTGTTTTCACAACTGTCATCATCTGTTATTATATGACTAAGAAAGGAGAAATGTGTCACTTGTTCTAATTGCACAATTTATTGCCTGGTATATTTCGCTGTATCTCCTGGTAAAAACAGGCAGTCATGTTTGATCGTTGTTGAAATTGTGCTTCAGATATAAAGGATTCACTTATTTGATCCATTAATGTAATTGTTACTGTAGTATGCACCTGACGAGATACAGCGAAATATGACAGGCAATAAATTGCGCAATCTATTGTTTGTATCTTCTCTGTTCAAACTTGTTCTAATATCTCTCAGTGTACTGTTATATTCAATTCTGGCTGCACCTTTGTATTTTTTATTATCAACTTTTTAAATTATTTTATTGTCATTTTACTGTTAATGTTTAAATTATATTCTGCACTCCATCCGCTTACTTGCTCCACTAGATACTGTAACTCCTGCTCACTTTCTTCTATTAACAATATATCATCAGCATAAGTCTAATTGTTTATATTCCTTCCAGGCAATTCTCTGACTTGTTTACAAATATTTTCTGTATACAAGGCTTGGAATAGCATTACACTTTTCCTATTTTGTTATCTCTATCTCTGGCAAGTTGATAATATCCAGAATAATCTTTACAGAGGCAGACAAACATACAGATAAATAAACAAATATGGAAAATGTGCGACGGCAATGCCAAGTATTATTAGAGAGGATTAAAACCCATGATAGACAAGGAAGAGAATGTTATACTGCATCAGCATAAGGAGGGACAGATTCAGATAATGGCGCAGACCCACTGCGGACGAGATGCCACAATTAACCTGTTACAACAGTAAAGGCTGTGATAGCATGTTAAGAAATCTGCACTCAGTTCAATCCCAACATAAAGACTTAACTATTTTTCTGACTTCAGGGTGTACCCAAAAAAAAAATGGACACAGAATGCAGTCTCAGCAAAGCCAATCACATACACAGACATTCAATGCAGATGAAGAAGAGCCAATAAAGTCCAGCACAAGGAGTGCAGTTCATCGCCGATAAAACGGCAGTTACAATACACCAGTAGCTGCACTCGTAATTAAGAAGACACCACCCATTCTCTGGCAACAGGATCCCCCACCATTTTCTGAATCTGCAGTTCACAACAAAGACCCTATTGTGCACAGTCAAAAAAAATCATTCAAAATTAAATCAGCAGCTCACAGTGTCACATCATGCACTTAACTCAGCAGCTGGGCGATGGCACTATATCCAACTAGTGAGTGACAAAAATGAGTGTTTGGAAGGTCTGAATGTAAGATGAGCATGTGTCCCATTTGTGAATCTTTTAACAATCAAATTTGTTGTAGTTCACCATTACACCGCTTACTGTTCAGCAATTTAATCCATACAGAAGATCAGCCCTCACAGCACTTTTAGTGTGCTTGTCATGGTAATTTTGTAACACATGTTAACAATCCACCCAAAACAAAACAAAATAAAACAATACAAACAAAACAATGAAAACCTAACAGCAAACATGGTCAAGGCACAGAAACTCCATCAACTTACCTAGAGATGCAGCCGTCAGCATGGCCTTACCAAATTCAATGGCACCTCCATGGGTGAAAAACATCTTGAATTTGGCCTCTCCTTGCCAGTTTCCTGTGAAAAAAATATTAGTACATACTAAGGAAACCTGAACCTTGAATATTTTTTTATTCAGAGACACATATTACAAATATGTGTAGCCTATCTAAACTGTCCAGGTAGTGATCAGTTTATCAAGTAAACTAAGCAAAAAACCCACTCACTACTTCTGGGTTATCCTGGATCTGCAAAAATATCTTCCCCCAAGTCTGTACAGCCCAGCGTTTTTTTGCTTTATTTTTAGTCCTCTGATCTGAACAAACTCTCATGTGCTTGATATTTGCAAGTATTTTACGTATAAGCACGTTCACCACTTAGGCATTACCGCCATTTTGTGTTTCTCAAATATTCATGTTTATTTTCATATTAATCCCATTTTTATGGCATAAATTTGTTTATTCATCAGTGGTTTCATGGTATTTGACTACACACTATGCCCTAATGCAGAGTATACACAGCATTTTATGAGCTTGTTAAGTACAAAGACAGCTGCTCATATATGTGTGTGTGTGTATATATATATATATGTGTGTGTATATATATATATGTGTGTGTATATATATTACACAGTATTCCAATAATGTTTATAAGAGTTCTTTATATATATAAATATATACACACACACACACACACACACACATATATATATATATATATATATATATGTGTGTGTGTGTGTGTGTGTATATATATATGTGTGTGTGTATATATATATATATATATATATATATATATATATATATATATATATATATATATATATATATATATATATATATTGTGTGTGTGTGTGTGTATGTATATATTTATATAAATAAAGAACTCTTATAAACATTATTGGAATACTGTGCAATAAAAAAAAAAAAGGAGGAGTAAAGACATTCTTCAAAAAATAAATAGCGCCATGTCTTGAAAACGGAAATACTCTAGCTATAATAATAGTAGTAATGGAAGACATAGTTCCTGAAAAAAAAGGCAAGGTTTATATAACAAAAGTGTGGGCACAGAACAATAAAGATATCTTGCACAGGAAGATGTGTGAAACAGGGGAACTAGCTTAAAAAAAAAAAAAACCAGCAGGATGCGACAAGAGCAACGCTCTAGAAAAAGGACCCCTGCTACTTGATGATGATTGCTCTCCAAAGTGTATCTGAAATCGGTTGTAGTAGGTCTGTTACACACACAACATGTCACATTAACAACATGCAGCTGATTGTGTTAATAACAAAATGTACGACACAAAATATGACTGTCCGTACCATATGGCTCTGCAAGGATCCGACCCTTGATGTAGTTGGACCCAAAGATAGGCTGCTCCAGCTCTACCTCCCTCATCAACAAGAACGGGAAAGAGAATGACTGCAGGCTATCTTTACCATCCTTGTTGTTGAAGATCACCTGAAAATAAGATAACTCAGTGATGAGCCTATTTCACAATTTTTAAAAAATCAAATTTTAAGTATGCAAACACATTGCATGCCTATGTAGGTTTGAACCACCTGACGGCCTACAGTCTAGAACAGCTCACTAAACCCATATGTGTGTGATCATATCAGAAAGGTAACATATAGCACACAATACTGGTACAATCAGAATTCGAATTCTGCATTTGCTGCTGAAGATAGGGACAATGTGCAAACAGCAAACATCCGAAGTGTTAATGTTGGTTTTTTTAACTCATAAGACAGCAGATAAACTGCAACAGATGGCTTGCTTGCTTCTTGAAAAAACAAAAAGAATAATTTGATCACGTTCAGGCTTTTTAGCTATATAGCTGCTGCCTATATTTGCGACCTTTATTAAGTTTGATTTGCTTGAATATGGTTTCCTTCGGTTCCAATTGGTTATGATGGCAAAAATAGGAATGATTAAAAAAGGGTATGGTACTTCTCCAACCAGAGGAAAAGAGAAGACAGTAATGAAGTTTGTTGAGCTACCACCACACTCACAGGAAGAGGAAAGACAATAGATTAATGAATAAATTTCAAAGTTTCACTGATTGTTTTTTTTAAAGATGTATGAATGTATCTGTTTTATGTGTGTATGCATGTGTATGAATGCAAGAAAGTATGTGTGTATACGTGTATGCATACATATATATTTATAGTATGCAAGTGTGTGTAAACATGGGAATGCAAGCGGGTGTGTGTACAGTTTATACGATTGAACGAGAGTGTGTAAGCAGGTATGAGTGTCTGTATACATGTTCTATGTGTATGCGTAGATAGGTAGGGATGTATGTGCGTGCGTGTGTGTGTGTGTGTGTATTTATGCATTACACATATATATATATACATATATATATATATACATATGAATACAACATGTTTTATGGATAAAATACAATTGCTGTGTGAAGGATGAGCGACTAGAAGGACCGAATGCAAGAGGGGCCTGCAAGCCCAATTTATGACCATTTGAAATGAAAAGTTTGTTCATCTGTTCATTTTTCTCATGGATCTGGTTTATCTAACCCCTGCCTCATGTCCTCCTAGCTACAATGAATGTTTCAGAGGTATGTTCTCCTACCTCTGTAGATCTGAGGATATCTGATGGACATCAGAGGTTTAGCTGTTGAAGTAATACTGATCCTGTTTAGAAAAACACTGAGCACCATGCCAACACCAATTAACACAAATTTTCTAAAGAAAGTTCTTAGTTCTTGCTGCCTACTTTTATTATTTATAACACCAATGCTTTACCTCTTGCTCCCACTGTTACTGCTACTATAACTACTTTTAGCACAATCACTACATGCTATGTCAGTTTGTAAAGTTACTATATTTTATGGAAATAAAACAGCAAAACAGAATAGCAAAATCACAAGAAGGGAAATAACGAAGAGAAAGAAAAGAATGTGTATGTGTGGTGTGTGCGTACATGAGATTGGGTGGGTGGGGGACTCTTGTCAGAATCCCATGCAAACAATGTCACTGTGAGTCACTAGTTGTCTTTGAAAATACAATCCTAGGGAGGTACATAGCGGGCAGAAGATACATTTACAGAGAGGAAGGAGAGAGTATTCTCCATCCCCACGTAGGACAATTGTTTATTTTTTATTTTGAATCCCCTCCTTGGTTGTTGCCGGGGGTCCTAATATAATCTAACAGTTGAACGAGTTTTCTGGGACTTCTCCACGGGTGATCCTCATCAGAATGGTGGCACTTTGTATCACCGGGTGTTTTTTGCTCAGTGTGATGTCCTAGTGGGGTAAAAAGTCAGTCAGGAAGGAGAGTAAAGATAAGGGTTAATATTCTGAGTCTCAACCCACTCATGTCCTTCACAAAAGTAAAACATGGGAGTCTGGCATAAGGTATAAATAAATAGACAGCACTGCATTTTACCTCAACAGAAAAAAAAAAGTTCTTAAACTCTGGATAAACAGATATATACTGAAAGGTAATCCTCCCTAACGGCCACCGAACATACCTGTAAAAACTGACAATCTGCAATGTAAACCGAACCAGATCTGCACAAGCCAGTTGTGGACACCATAACCACTTACATACTCCATCTCTGACCAAAGTCAGTGCTGCTATTCAATAAGAGAATGAACTTCAGACTAAGAAAACAGGATATGGGTAATCTATCACTTTGTGCAGAGATAGTATACAGGTGGTCTATCACTTTAATTAACACTAAGATTACATACACATAAAGACTCAAACACTTACTCTGTGAGTAGTTAGATAGACTCTGCCATTCTTCTTGCCTTTCAGCGGTGTCACAGATGCTGGGCCTTCAAATGTCAGTTCAATGCCATCATAGTAAATTAGAATTCTGAAATAAAAAGATCACAGGAAATTTATCATCAATGAGCAGTACTGACAGATGACCAAAAAACAACAAAATGACTTTATAATTTATTTGGTAGGGGAAAAGTCTAGGTCCTAAAACATAGACAGACTAGGTCACTATGTGGTGGTTAGTGGTGCCTTCCAGCATTGCTGTCCGTATGATTAACACCTCAATAATGAGAATCAGACGAGTGTAAATCCTGAAAACACTGTTCAATAGCATCACTGTCATATCAGGGCAACCCTAACAATTACAAAGTAACTTGCAGTGCAATGCTGAGACAGGCATGGCATATTTAACTAGCCCATTACTCGGGGAGGGAGTAGTCGTGGCATTGGCGGCTAAAGGGGCGCCTGCAGATTAAAAGGTCATGGGTTTCCACACTGGCGGAGCCGGACTTTTTTTTCTCTTCAAAAAATGACCCTGACTTCCAGGTTGACCCAACTTTGAGTGGGTACCAGGAGCAGTCCTAAGAAGTAAAAGCGGCTGGCGTGATGCTCAGCACATCACCCACCAAGCGATTATCGGTCTATAAAGATATAGGTCTAGCCCTGGGCTATCATCAGAATAACGGCTACATATTATGGTGGCCAAAAACACACCCAGAGGAAGCTGCACGATGCGGTAGCTGCTGCTCATGAGTCCCAGCCATCTAATCTAGCCCCACTCCGCGTCACAGGAAAAACTCTCAGCGGCGAGTTTAACTTGGCGGTTCATTGTGTTTTGCGACATCATCACCGGAAATGTATCATACTTTTGCTATTTACATGTGAATGAAGCCCTGTCGGGGTGTGTTTTGGGCGCCATATTATGTGACCGCCATTCGGAGGATAGCCCTAGCCCTGTATTTCCAATATGCTTTAAAGCGTGGAAAAGGGACCTTTTACTATTCCTCGGGGATTGGGGTGGGGTGGGGGGGGGGGGGGTGGCAAGACCTGTAGATAAGAGGATAATGAGGTCACCACACAAATGATGTGGTGAAAAGTAGCAAAATCCTAAAAGAAAAACAAACAAAATGATTTTAAAAAGGTGGATGTGTTGGCCGAAAAGTGCAAATATCGCAGCTACGCTGTACTTGGACTAAAAGTTGGACTGAATCAACAATAAAGAAGAAAGTTATTATTTACGAAAACATAAACAGAGCAACTGAGGTTATGTAGTACCATGGTATGAGTCCCTGTCACTGTAGTGTCTTATTTATGCTGCAAACAGAAATAAGGAAATAAAAAAAAGAACTCATTCTCTACAACTACAATCATGACAGTGACTCAGTGACTCACTAGCGCCTGCCCTGGTGTTTAACTGTTGATGAAATGTTCAACTCACAAAAAACAATATAGCAATAAATGAATAACTAGGTGTTATTTGTTTCCTTATGATGCTGTGTAAACTTACCTTTCACCAGCAAAAATCAGAACTCCTCCCTGGGCGTGCGCCGTGTTGATAGACATGTTGTAAGACTGGATAAACTGATCAAAAGTGCGTCGTTGAAGTAAAACTGTTTCCTTTTAGGCATCCAACTTTGTTGTGATGACGTCACTAGCCGGATGTGACCTCTGACCCTGAGCCGATTCGTAAACATTCAACTAACAAATATGTAATACTGCTATTATTTTTCTGGTTATATGCACACATTATTACACTTTTCGTCAAAATGACATCAGTACAAATAATAATTTTACAATCTACAGTACATATATTATCAAACGTGCACTGACACCGGGATTTCTTCTTTTTTCCAGAATATTCGCCAAATTAATTATTTATGACCTTCTACGCATCACATTTTAAAGGACATTCTAGACCAGCAGTTCTCGAAGTGCCCGGACGGAAATTACGCTGAGGTGTGAATGTATGCATGGGCGCCAGTACCTTAGGGATCATGCCCATTTTTTTTTTTTTTTTGCTGAGTGCGAAGGTAGTAAATATGTCGAATCTAATGCTACTTTCATGAACTAAATTCCTTACGTGTGTGTGTGCGTGCACTCGTGTGGGTGTGTATGTATGTGCATGTGTGTGTGCATGTGTGTGTGGGTGTGAATATGTGTGTTTGTGTATGTATGTATGTATGTGTGTGTGTGTGTTCAATGCTAATTGTCGAATAAAGAATCGATATCACAGCACTCGGGACACACCAATAAGCGCTCAGTCCCCATCTTCAGCAGCAAACGAAGAGTTCCGATTCCGATGGCACAAGTAACTGGCTGATTATATATACGTCTCGCCCTTCCCTTGAGTGTTGGTTGTGTGTCAGATTGACTGGTAACTCCTCGCAGAGCAATTCACCTCAGACCGTAATGATCTATTTACGCTTTCGCACTGTTCACTCGCTCCTAGAGGGTTCTCACAACGTCTAGCTTGTCATACATCAATTTACCACCAAGAGGTGCAGAACGGATCAGTATATCTGCTTGCTCATTTCCCAACACACCGGCATGACATATAGAGAATATCCAAAGGATGCTAACTACCCGGGACCTCCAAAGTGATGCTTACCGCTCTGCACGGGGCATAGTTGCTCCGCCTTTCTCAACATGCTCTGTGAGTCAGTGACCATCACGGCATGTGTGTACAGCTGATTCTCAAGCCAGCAAAAGGCAGCAGTAACTGCCTCCACTTCCATTCTTAAACAAGGCGTTGTGATATCATTTGCCAGCCTTAGTTGCACTAAGCGACGTCCTTTCGCTTTTGCTATGAACCCCTATGCACTTCGTCCGCCCCTTAACACAATGTCATCTGTATAGCTAATAACATCACTTGAGCGGGAATTGTCATGAATCATTTGTTGAACTTCTGATTCTGCAGCGCTAGCTGGCCAGTCCCTGCACTTACGACACAAAATAATAAGAACCTTGCACAAGTCTGAAACTTGCTCTGACACTTTAGCCCACTCCTCACCTCGCACAAATTATCAAGCCTGCACACATGTCTGACTGTGTCTTCAGCTTGCGCCATCCAAGACCTTCCTCTTTTCAGTATGTGACCCTTAGATCTACCCAGGGCTTCATGCAAGAGGTGCTTCTTGTCTGCAGCTACTCTATGACTTTGCTTGCAGAACATTGAGCCTATAGTAGGCAGTGTAAGTATATATCGCATTCATACTACTGGGGTATCTCTTGTGCATCCCAGAATTACCTACATGGCTTTATTCTGAATGCGTTCAAGTTTCATGATCTGACTGTTTGATATGGTAAAAATTCCAAGTCCATAATCTATCACCAACAGGGTCACATGCTGGATCATTGTGAACTGCATTCTTTGTTCCATGTCCATTACTGCCATAATCTTGAGAGCATTGAGTCCTTTTTGGCAGTTCACCGCAACTGCCTCCACAGGATCCCTGAAGGAAAGGCTTCTATCATAAATTATACCCAGGTACCTCAGTTTGCTTTCTCTTTTTATGTTAGTGTTATTAACTGTGAGGCTTAGAACATTAGCTCTTTCAATTCTATTGTCCAGAGAGCTCCACAAAACTGCCGCCTTTTCTGAGTTTATGACAGCATCCATTTCTGCACACCAGTCGGTCACTTTGTCTACAGTTGCCTGTAGCTCTTGGGCTATCCGTTGCCTATTACTCCCCTGCCTATATGCAAGAATATCATCAGCAAATGTCAATATTCTTCCAACACCTAGTGCTTCAAGTTCTGTAATCTTGCTTGTATATACATAGAAGATCACTGGTGAAATTGCAGAACCCTGGAGTAGTCCCGGAGCGATATTATATAGTTCTGATGTCCATGTACCTAGGAGAAGATCAACGATACGTGAATGCAGGACAGCTGCTATCCAGTTCACAAACCAGGGGCAAACCCCCTTCTCCATTAGTGCAGATAGCAAAATAGCATACCTGACCCTATTGTAGGCATCCTCAAGATCTAGTGCTGCCACAACTGTCTCCTGTCTATTCTGGAAGCCCTATTGCAGGAGCTCTTCCCTTCCCAAAACATTTGTAGTTTAACAGCAATGATCTTCCCAAGTACCTTGCCAAAAGTATTTTGTCGGGAGATAATCCTGAAGCCGCTGAGTCTGGAATGATCTTTGCCTGGTTTTGGAAAGGGATTAGGTGGCTGTGATGTGGCCTAAGACGAATTTTTATATATTCTTGTAAATATCTTCCCTGCGACTGAGAGAAAAGAGTTGAACCGACTACTGATGCATTCAGTCCTGGCGATTCATTGATTCATCCTTGAATTCTTATGGAATTATTTCATTTTCCAATATTTGCAGGAAAATCAAAGGAAGTTTCTGTCTGGGTTTTTCGCCAGCTTTGTAGAACTCTGCAGGCATTACATGAGAGCGAAGAGCTTTACCATAAGAAAGTTAGCGAATTGCCTTCTGAGTTTCCTCTGGAGGAGGAGCTTCATAAAACGCCATGTTTAAAGGGACTTGTAGGAGGCTGCTGGCAGCGTCATTGTTAATAGATTTAGAATATTATTAAATGTTCAGTCCCTATTTGGAGAATGTATTCTTTATTTATGAGTAGTGTTTTCTCATCCGTTTAGAGGGGAAGAGGTAGCGCCGATGACGCCGATGGACAATAGACTGCCTTAAGTGTTTGACAGAAGGATTTTAGGCCACATCTGTCGATAAACTTTTAAATCTTATCTGTTTTTCTACTTAACCACGAAACCCTCCTCTGCCTAGTTTACCTCGCACCATTCACCGCATGTTGTAGAACGCATTGGATGTAGACTTTGGATCACTCAGAATGACTTTATGAAGGCGATGTTTCTCGGCCAGCAGCTCTTGTATTTCCTCAGAATTTTCATTGAATGTCATTTTTCCCTTTGTTTTTCACAGCAGGACACATAATATCTAAAGTAGTGCTATAAATATTTTTCGTTAACAGCGTCCAGTAAGATTCCTTGCACTGGCTATCAAGTGGTATAGTCTGGAGTTCATCTTTTAAGGTACCAACAAATGACTGCTGGATGGTTGTTTTCTTAAGTTTTTGTTGAAACTTTGGTAATTTTTATGGTTTCTTAACTTGATGACAAATGGTTAGCTGGATACGAATATTCAGTTTGGATACAGTGAAGCTATGACCTGTCCAGAATTCGGCTCTGCACTTGGTCACCCTAACATCCTGTCAGTCCTTTTTTCTTTTCTTCCTATTCAATAGTCAATGAGGTGCCAGTATTTTGATCCTGGGTGCATCCGTGTATGTCCTATTTCAGGTAGATAGTCAAAAAATTGTGGGATGAAAACGTCATGCTATATGCAGGTCTGGAGGAGAAGTCCATTACTGTTGCAGCGACCTACTCCGAACTTTCCAATAGTACTATTCCATGAGATGTTATCGGAGACAACTCTTGACTAAAGTCACTAAGAATAATAAGTTTTATCTGATTTTGGTGCTGTTGCTATGACTGCATACACTCCTTCATAGAACTGATCTTCCACATTATATTTGTTTGTCATCGTTGGTGCGTAAGCGCTGACATTGTAATAAGGGTATCTTCATCGCCATTAATCGGTCATCCCTTTGAGATTGGGGGGGGGGGGGGGGGGAATTCTCAATAGCTTGCCTACAGTTGATGTTTTGATAGCAAAGCCAACTCCTGCTTCTCGCCTGTCTTTAACTCTCCTCAAGCTACAAAAGAACGTGTAACCTGCGCCCTCTGCAGACAGCTCTCCTCTGTATGCAATCCTGGTTTTGCTCATGGCCGCCATGTCAACACTATCTGGTGAATTCTCTCTCGCGGACAAAGCAGTGTGACTATGGGGTGTGATTTTTTCCCGTTATCAGACATAGTACACAAATTCCAAGTGAGAAATGCCCCCCCCCCCCACCCCCAGTCCATCCCAGGTGTATGTCGATTGCTGGGATAGAGTACCCATCAGCCGTGTAAGCTGATTAGTTAGAGGTGAAGCAGGCAATGTTTTATGACACTTTTTATGACCCTCTTCGGGTCATGGAGGTGTGTGGTGCATTCCTAAAGAGGGCTGCTCAATCGATCCGGGGGCTGCCGAATGCCACTGTTGCTCCAGTCTGGTGGAAGACGATCTTATGGTCTGTGCCGCCTGTGTGCTGATTTACAACTACAACTGCCAGCGAACCCTCGCCTGTCGCTCCTCCGCTCGCCAATCGCCACAGGACATAAGTGAGTTGGGTGAAATGTAAGAAAGAGTGTCTTTCGCAATTAATTAGTTTAAAGTGACGAATTTTTTTTTTAATGTCGAACTCACTCTCTCGTCTCTATCCATATGGATCCGGTCGCAAGAAGAAGAAGAAGAAGAAGAAGAAGAAGAAGAAGAAGAAGAAGAAGAAGAGGAGGAGGACAAGAAGAAGAAAAGAAGAAGAAGAAGCAGCAGCAGCAAGCAGCAAGTTGAAGATAGGAAATTCCCAATTGAGCTGACAGTAAACAATAATGCACCACTTCCTAGAGATTACAGTTCAGGTATTGGCTTCCAGAGGCAATTTGGTCTTGTCTTTCACGCTTGTAACTTCATACAACTTTTTTTTAAACACTATACCTCAGGCCCATTCTTGTAAGTTTTGCAGTCCAACTAACCAGATTTTTGGTAAGAAGTTGCAAATCCTGATTTTTGATTGGGCACCATGGCCTACCTCCCACCTGCTGGCATACGTTGCCTTACAGACAGCAAAGTGTCCTACCTGCCCACGATGTCAGAGATACAAAATCCCGCCTACACGGACAAGATGCTGGATGCCATAAAGAAGAATGCCCAACACAGACCGACAGACACATCTTTACCTGTCAAAAGAGCTTACTCGGATGAAATTGCTTTCAAGCCAGCAAAAACATTTACAGAGTTGTGAGTAAGTTTTTTTTATATTAAAGTTCATAATTTCAGCACATACACAAAACGTCAGCGGTAGAACAAGAACATAACAAGAAGATCTTCTAATCTGATCTGCGATTATCTTGAGGTATGCACGAGCCCTCCAGATCTGAAGCACCCTTTGTACCACATGCTCTTCAAGAAAAAGGGCAATAGGCTTAAAAGGGGCAAATTATGGCTCTGTGGGGCAGCCTTACAGACATCCATCCAGGTGAGGAGTGGATACTAGCATCTAAAGAGCCCAATCTCACATTCGCCCGTGTCGTGACGGTCGATAGAAATTGTCGGGAGCACAATCCAGCTGCTGTCAATGCCGAGGTATGCGCACTTATCAGTGACATGTCAGATGAGACAGATGTGGTGATCTTCACAGACGTGTCCGTAATGCGAGGACACACGAGTGACATTTACAGCTCGCTCTTCAGGCAAAACAGCTCAGGGAGCCAGCGGTGCCTTCTCCATGACCACCAGTAGCATGACGATGGAGGTGATGGCGGTGACACAGGCTTTTATGTGGCTGGGATCACAGACTTCCCGCGTGTGTGTGCTGAGTGATTCTTTGAGCATGATTCGGCGGGTCGAGGCAGGCTGGTTACGCAGACAGTGGCTTGAGTCGTTGCAAAATTCTCCTGTGTGTGCAGTTACTTTCATATTCGTCCCAGGATATGCAGGCGTTGTTGGTAATGAGAGAGCTGATAGACTGGCAGGTGCTGCTTTAATTGAATATGGCCTGCCCATGGATCACGCAAACATTGTCATTGTCCTTAGAGAGAGAGAGAGAGAGAGAGAGAGAGAGAGAGAGAGAGAGAGAGAGAGAGAGAGAGAGAGAGAGAGAGAGAGAGAGAGAGAGAGGACGTTCTGAGGATCTTGGAAGCAACGTGTCCACATCACTGCTAAGAATACGCGAATTGGGAGTAAGGATCGGCACAGCCAAGCATGAGAAGCACACCGGACGCACACGAAGTCTTGTTAACCAACATAGGACTGGTACTATTAACCGCACGACGCTGATGAATATGTTGAGAGGGGAATCTGAGCGCCTATGGATGTGTCCGGAGTGCTGAGAAGATAATTTAACTCATAACTCAAGAACATCTTCTGTAGAAGTAATCTAAAAATGCACAGATCTATAAATGCACACATCTATAAATGCACTGATCTTTAAATGCGAACATCATCATTATTATTATGTTACTCGTCTGACGGTGAAAGCGTCAATGTCTGTCAGCCGTGTGATTTCAGTCTTGGATGTTCTGGATTGACTATTAATATTTCACCACACTACAGTCTTAGGAAATCCAACATCATAACTCTCATTCTGCCTCTGCTTCTTCTACCGCTAAACTTCCCAATAAACTCAATGTTTTCTAGTGCATTTCTTCTTCCTAAATGAGTATCTAAATGTTAAAGAAGTGTATGTAGCAGCATACAATTTCTCATCACAGTCAATATCAATCTTCTTCTGCACCTTCTTCACAGTTCGGCTGTGATATATGCACTTTTCATCCTAAAAACATTCTATTTCAGTAAACATAATTTGTTTCCTTTTACGACATGTTTTTTATGGAGCAGCCTCTCCCCCCGCCTCACCCCCCCCCCCCCCTAATATTCCAGAATCTGAAAATTTATGCAAATGCAAATATTCATTTATTGTCTTATAATTTTACTAGTTCTGGGGGAGATAATTATTAATATTTGAGCAGGCTAACAGTCAGATGAAAGGCCAGAAATGTGGATGGATGCCCAGAGGGAAGGGTAAGTATATGGCGAGCGGATGAATGAACGGTTGGTCAGATGATCGAATTGGGGGACGGACAGATGGACAAACGGAGTGATAGACAAATACCTGTGCACATTTATATACATCCTATATTTTTCTAGCCAGTCAGAGACGAGTCTCAGGCAACCTGTCTGTATGGGCTCCCCAAGTGACACATACACAGCCAAGGGCACATGGTCACATTGCAAGGCTGGGCAGCCAGATCTACGGAAACTGCCTTACGGTCTTCCCCCAAATAGCTTTGATGTGAAGATTCGGGCCAACTGGTTTGGTAAAGTGACACGTTTTGTAAATTCCTGATTGTTGACGTGAACAATATTAACACTTTTTGACGGTAGTCGTGAAACATTTATTTTATCGGGATTTTCCTGTCGAGCGATGATACTACCAGACTGTCCTCATGAAGTCTTCACATGGTTACAGGGAATCTTTGACAGACTTTATTTGGGAGGCCTTGACAGACTTTCTTTGGGAAGCCTTGGCAGACTATCCTTTGGAAGCTTTGACAGACTGTCCTTTGACAGGTTGTCTTCGGAAAGTCTTGACACCCTGCCAGGATATCCTCGTCATTTCCAAACTGTTCTAGGAAATCTTTGACAAACTGTCCTCGGGAGGCCTTAACAGACTGCTCCGATAAGCCAAGACCATTTTAGAATGTCTTTAGGAAACACCGACACTCTTAGCTCGACATACAAGTTAGTTAGTCGACATATTATCCTCACTGCAAATCGAACCATTCAGTCCATAAGTGCTCGGATCCCCTCCTCAGAAAAAACCACAGCATGTAGCGGCTCGTGACACCAGTTCTTTGTTGATTTCTTTGGCTTCCTGGACAGTGCTCTTGTCTGTCCACACCCCTCTTAACATCTTGTTCTTGCAGTCTGGTCATGACTGCAGATTCACAGTAATCACTTGGTTCTCGCAAACGTCTTACTTCTAGTAGAGCATTCAGAATATCAGCATGGACTATTGCTCGTCTGCCCTCCATAGTAGTTTTACCTGCAAAACGATCAGCTTGCTCCTTTCCTTGTAGACCTGCGTACCCTGGCACAAATATTTAATTAAAATGTGTCAAACTCGACCGCTCTAGAGACTCCAACCACTGTCTTCGGACAGAAAGTTAAAAAATATAATTTTTATACATGGTTTTAGGGGGGGGGGTAGAGGGGGGGGGGGGGGGTTGCCTCCTTTCAAATTTAGGAAAAGGGGGGGGGGTGAGGGGTGGCGGAGCTTCTAACATTTTTTTGTGAGTTGAAGGTGGGGTGGGCGAGGTGCGTAGGCACCTAGTTTATGTCGTACTTCATAGGGAGTTATACACATGGAATATGAACGCAGTTATCTTTAACATCACCATCGCCTTCATTAGTCTGTTACTTTCCACAGATCATTGGAAAGAGCAAAACTACGTTTACACGGGCGCCTTTAGACAATGGGAGAAGAGATATGGCGCCAGATACTTGTATCCAACTCCTGTCATTCCAAAACCACCCCGCTTTACCAGCAAGAATACCCGATTGCCTTGATAGAAAATGCAACAAGACTGAGATAAACCAACAACTCTGCATAAAAGAAAATTATTGACACAACTTTTTCTTGTCATGCCACAAATCTGACTGGTCTCGATTAACCATTTGAGACAATCATCAGTCTCTGGTCCCATCAAGTTTGCCATGTCACTAAGATTTCTATTTACTTACTTTTCATAACATGCCCAGACAATCTTGACCCTCTGTATCAAGTTTCCTTAATCGTCTTTGCATATTATCACTGCAGCTGTAATATAACTGATTCATCAAACATGTCGCCGCCTCGTAATGACATCGCTTTTGCTGGCTCATGACCCCTTATTCAACAATTCAGCTCTCTGCCTCTAAAGGACGCCCAACATCCGGTAGACTCCCCTTATAATGAGATATGATCCTACCTGAGCCGGATTACTGCGAGGAAAATAAAATTAAGGCGGAACCAGACCAATCGGTTATCTACTTTGTGTGTGGCCAATTTTTTAGGTAATTGAAATCTTGGGTGCTTTTCTAATATCATACCCCACAGGGAAAATCCACAGGTCACGGGACAGTCTAATATTTCAGGGGGTTGTAGATAGGCGGCATGCATTCGTGGGACCTAGGCTGTACTCTCTCGTGGGACGTAGGTGGGTTAGGGTTAGGGCCAGTTCTAGATGTTTTGGGGTCTTTAAAAGCACCAGAAAGCCAGCAAACCCAGTCTTACCACTCTCTAAAATGTTGGACTGTCCTGTGACGTCATCTGTGGGTAAGATATTAATAAAGAACCGCAATCTTATATTGCATGTTTTCTGAGTTATTTGTGTTACATGTTCACTGTCATATTTAAATGAAAGGGCGCAGAAAATGTATTTGTTATAACAAAACATGCGTTGAAATAATTCCTTCAACTCTGAAGTCACGATAATCGTGGCAAGCTCATAAGTGCCCCATCTCACTAAATAGATGTAGTCAAACAATGCGGCAATTTATGACCACTTGATAACACACACATTCCCCCTATTTTCCTTCTTGTGACATATCAGATTCCTACATCCAACAGTTACAGAGGAAGACAAGCAGAGCTTTATGTCACAGCGTGGCACACGAATACTGTAACAAAAATCTATTAACACAAGGCTAAAAAATGCCCACGCCACCTTTGAAAATAAATACACCTAAATTTAAAATCGTCGAGGATAATCAACAATTATATTAAGTGCAAAATAAATTCACAATTTAAATGACACAGTGTGAGAGAATCTAAATAATAATAGTACAATTTCTATCTTAATCACCACTTATAAAAGTGTAAACAAAGCAATGTTTGAAACAATAATACAAATTATACAACAGTCTTAAACAATTATACGATAGATAAAACAAAAACTATATACTCTGAGAACTCGATAAACAATTTATTTCCCAGTTATAACTATGAGGTCTGCACAGGATATTTTTGTGAAAATTACGGCTACTACTACGAATACTTCTGGAGATGGCAACATGTGAGAAGCAAGATAGGTCATGCCAGTCGGTAAGACACTTCATAGTGATAATGATACAACAATGTACGTAGCCACTGGAACCTGGGTTCTCAGGCACCTTGAGAGCCCAATAATTTGATAGGGAGCACAGACCTCCCCTGAGACAATACATAGACGTTCTCTTTTAAAACATTTCTCTATACATTTCATATGATTGCAATTATATCATTTTTTAATTTACCATTCAGCGCATAATAATAATAATAATAATAATAATAATAATAATAATAATAATAATAATAATAATAATAAATATCGCGTAGCCTCTGCCCGCACCTATTTTCTTTGTGGTGGCGTATCTGACACTGTACAGTATGAAAGGTATTTTGTCCTATAGTCCCCATTACTAGCCTATGATTTGGCCACGACCCACTGGAGAATATTTATCACTGTGCTCCAGTGGGCCGTGGATTTGTCATATGAGGCGCAGTGGCCAGTTTTCTGCTACGTTTTCTTGTCAGAAACTTCGCAAAATTATTTCATATCTAGTCTTGTGAATCGTTGATGAACGCTGATGAGAGAAGCCAAGCTGGTGGAATGGAGACTATCCGTCATATCGAAAGGATTGCACAGGATAAAAATAAATTGAGGAATGGACTGTGAGCCCTGTGATGTGACATATAATGATAACAACAGGGCAATCATGGGGATGATGATGATTCTCATGAGTCTGGAGCGTAGCGACTAACAATTAAAAAGGAATTGTGTGTGTGTGTGTGTGTGGGAGGGGGGGGGGCAGGCGTTTGAAGTTGGACCACTGTCTCGGCAGCAAACGCGAACTAAACGCTATGGCTAGACGTCTCGCACAATACAATGTCGTCATCATCATCATCCATATAAGACTCACAGTGTATTCGTCTATTCTGCTTTGTCTTGTACAATTATTTCACTGTTATTGTTGGAATAAAGACCAGCAACTCATGAACGTTCGTCTTAGGGGTTTTACTTCATTTTCTGTTTCCTATGTAAGTGCCTCCTTGGCGATTTTCTGTTCGTTTCTCATGATGTGTCCTACTTTGGATCTTTTCTCCAGGCCATACCGGCGTAGTTATTAATGAACAGGGTGGTGAATTGACACCCCAGGCGGTGAAATGATATATGACAAGGCAGATGTTTTCAAGGTCCTTTGGAAACAAGCAATGGAGCTAGTAGAGAAACAAGATTATTATGACCTGGAGAGAATGAGGCACCTGGGTGTAACCAGAGGGTCTGATCGGCTCACTACACTCAGAGGAAAGGCAAGACGGACATATAACCAGATTATGACCGGTACCATTGGTACTGGAATTCTGCGCTGGCTGCTGAAAACGAGGACGGAGCACGCATGGGAATGCTCCGAGTACTGTGATGTCAATTCATGACTCAACTCAACTCAATTCATGATGTGTCCTATATGTGGCAATTTTCTGTCTTATAACCAGAGCTTTTTTCTAGATTAAAAGGTGCCGGTACGAACCACAATATGCGGCTCTCTCCCCCTCCCCACCCAAGTACGGGCACTCGCCACATCATCATCATCAGCTGGCGTAGGCGTTCATGCGTCGCCACAGAACTCGCTCTTTAGTGTTCTGGATCAGTTCTTCTGAGGATATTCCTCCAAACCACTGTCTTAAGTCATCCACCGTTGTTTTTCGTGGTCTGCCACTGCTACATAGTGTTAATTATTATTACAGTAGCTGTCAACGGTCACTATTGTGGTGTAGACAGGGGGTCGCGAGTTTTTAGAGCCACGTGGCTAGTGCTGTCGCCATAGACTGTGCAGGTTAGGATATTTAAAAGAGAAACACTCCATCACCTTACTGAGGTTCGAACCCAGGTCTCCAGCATAAGAGCCCGACGTAGTAATTACTCGGCCTGCCGCCGGAGGAAAACTGATGCATAAAAGAACCAATGCTATGTACCGCCCGACAAATAAAAACCCCCGGTGAAACAAAGAGTTTCTTTACACTTCTCTTCGTTTTTCTTGATTACACCCATGTGATTTTTAGATTTCTCAAAGCAATTGTTTTCGAATGTATTTAGCTGTCGTTCCCTGTCCTAATTACAAGCAGAGGTCAGTGTAAATAACGAATTCCCTTGACCTTTAACTTCCGGGGTCAATCATGGAGACACTAGCTTGAGGGTAGGCAATAGTAATAGTAATACAAACATTTCCTTGTCTTTCTCACTCTCTCTCTCTCTCTCTCTCTCTCTCTCTCTCTCTCACTTCTGTCAGCTAAGTTGACGAGTGTCATATCATTGCAGAAATATCTGGAGCAGTTGTTGTTTTAATATAATCTAATCATAGTAGTCACGGATGATTATAAAAAAGCAAGAGGGCGAACGTAGTTTTCTTTCACTTTCATTTGTTGTGTTGTCGATAATAGGTGGTTTACCTATAACATCCAGGAAATAACGGCAGTTTGGAGGTGTTAAACCCACACAACCTCATCACTTGCTTGTCAAGAACTGAGCTTGTGATTTTTAGACACGGAGTAGCTGATACTGCAGACATAGAGTATTCTATTTAGACCAGTTCAGTACGATATTTTTTTAACCCATATCTTTTTAGGTATCAGAGTATTTACTTTACTTTTTAGCATTCATTCAGTAGGGAGTAGTATAGGTATAGCGGACAATTTGTCGATTTGTGTGGGCGATCACACCTCTCTACAGCCTGTAATCTTCAGCAACATATATTTGATATATCAGTACATGTGCTGACACCCCTCCTTGCCATGTCAGCAGGCTGTCAAGAATCTTCTTGTGTATTTCTATGTCTTTCTTTCCACAGATGTTTCCTCCTCATTATCGCCCCCCCCCCCAAACAGTGATTGTCTCTTTCGGATGATTGTGATGATCTGTCTTTAGCGCCCCCACCTGTTTCAAAACTTTACTCTTTTTGACTCCAGAGAATTCGCAGAATTCTTCTATAAAACTACATCTCAAGAAATTGTTTGGCTTGTTTATTAATTGTCCAGTATTCACCTCCATATGTTGAAACTGGCTCTTTTTGTAACCTCCACTGACAGATTTATTGCATAAAATAGGCTATCCTCCGAATAACGGTCCTAAATTATCGAGCTGGAAAATATACCCTAACAGGGCCTCAGTCATGTGTCAATTGCGCATTCCGTCATCTTAAATTGTACGCTTCTGGCAACTTCCGCCACCACCAAGAGTATCCCCCACGGGGCGTGGATTAGGGCTAAACTAGATGACTGGGACTCACGAGCAGCAGCTACCGCATCTCCTGCAGCTTCCTTTATTTTATTTGCTCGTGAGTCCTAGCCGACTAGTTTAGTCCCAATCCAAGCCGCCTGGGGGATACCTGTGGCGGAAGTTGCCGATAATTCACAATTCAGCGGAAGTGCATAGTTGACATGTGACTGAGGCCCTGTTAGGGTATATTTTCCGGCTCGATAATTTAGGACTGTTATTCAGAGGATAGCCCATAAAATATTGTTTTTATAAAATGCAGTCTCAACCTGTCTCTATTCTGTTCTTTATCTCTGTGATACATCTTCTATTGGATTTTGTCTATGTGCCTAGATACTTAAATAACTGTTAAATCAGTTAAATTAGGTGCATATCTTTTACAGGACGTTGCCAACCCAAGCACCATCTGACTGTTGTGGTTTTTCTAGGCAAATTTACGTCCAGTAGTTTGCCATTGCTTTCTGGATGGTTAAATAACTGTACTTACCATAAAATAAGGCCCTTGACTTTATTATACATTTAGGTGCTTTTTTTGTCTTTGATATTATTACCAGTACTTCTGTCTTCCCATTATTTGAGCTGAGAATCATTCTGTCACTTTCTACCACTACTATATCTGTCATACCCTGTAGTTCTGATGTATCGCTATCAAGATGGTGAAATTAAAATAATTTAGGTTTAGGGGAATATAAGGACAATAAAAAATTTCACAAGTGAGTAACATTAAAATAGAAAATATAACTTGCAGCTGCTGCACAACATATAGACATACATCCCAAGTGATCAGAAAATGTTAAGGATTAGTGTTTAGAACACACAACAAAACAATTGATTATATCAATGAAATTTTAGTGAACAAAAACATGTTATGCTTCGAGATGTTAGAAAAGCACAATAAATTTGAAACTGCCTACCCTCATTGTTTTGAAAGGAAACTTAATTAAATAAACCTTATATTATTAATAAATATAAGTGAACCATTGAATATTCATTAAAGAACAACAAAAAAGATGGTTTGACCACCTGATGACAATGCCATGGTACCAGCTGCCACAGAGAGCCACACTGAAAAAATGTAATGAACACAGAGCAAGGGGAAGACCACGCAAGAGGTGGAGCGTCATTATTAAGAACAACCTTACAGAAATGAACACCAACTTGTACAGTGCAATGGAAAAAGTGCGCAAATGATCCTAACTTCTCCTAAATCATTGTTTGCTTTTAAAAAAGTATAGTCGGGAGATGTGAACCAGCGTCATTGCACACAATCATAAATCATAAGTGCTCTGCCACCATTACGAACAGCTGATAAAAAACTGTCCGCCTGTGTCGCCATCCGCACACAACTCTCTAGCTACAACCATATTCCTCCATTTACCCCAGAGTATTAACTCTGGTACCCATTACCTAGAGGCTGGGTGAACCCCATGAACTGCCAGGTTTCAAACACTGGTTGTGGGCTGCAGCGAGTCGTGGCTGGGTTTGAAAGCAAGTCTCTAATCGACTGCGCTATGACCATAAGGAACACTATCCATTATTTGTTTACGTTCAGGTAATAATGTTCTGTAACATTTATTATTGCTTAAGGTTTGTGTTAGGGTTAAAGTTAGGGCTGACCCTAAACCAAATCTCAAACAGTTTTAAATATTAAAGAATTTTATTATGTGTTCTTACACAAACAATGGATTACTTCCCCTAGGGTACATATTTAAAGTGTTAGTAACTTATGAAAGATCGCGGTTTTCAGTTTTTCCCACTATTTTACCACAGGGTGAGGAACAAATTTTGTCTTTAAAATTTGTTGTCTGCACAGGCTGCACTCAAACACACACACTGTGTTTACATATATACATATATTTATTTTTCAAGCATATTTTAGTGCCGCCTTTAAAAGGGGACATTTCTGCAGTCTGTTAATAAAACAGTAAATGGTTTTTCCTTATCATATTACAACCATGTTGTTTATATTGATTTAAGAACATACCCGAATAGTCTCAGGACACCGTACCATCAGCATGTAAAATGAGTGTCTGATTTATCCCCACAGAAATTATACACGGCTCCATAATGAGTGTCAGCATGGACAGAAGCTCTGTGTTCAACACACAGACATCACAGACCGGCAATAGTCAGACAAAGAAGCCCAGATATTCACAGTAAGTTGACCTTTTTTGTTGTTGTTGCTATACCTAACTAAACACTGGTAGATTAAAGACAACTACTTGACAGCTCTGTTGTATGGAGAAAAACACCTCTCTCATCCTGGACAAGTTGCCCTGGCCAGCAGAACTCCTTGCCTTTGTAAAATATCTGCAGTGGAATCATTACATCCCCATCTTGATCTTCTTTCTACTTCACCACTAAGTTTACTGTCTTCACGCAAGGCTAAGTTTTTTGTGACTAGTAGACTAAGTTTATTGTGACTTAGTTTACCTGCAATCACTATTTGGCTATCCTCCGAATAACGGGCACTTAAGATGGCGGCTGAAAAATATCCTTTTGAGCCTCAGTCGTGTGTCAATTTCGCACTTGCCGTCACGAGCACATCGCGGGAAAACTAGTTGACAATTTTGAGAAACGGAACAAACCGCCGAGTTAAACTCACTGCCGAGAGTCTCCCCCGCGCCGCTACGGGCAGATGGGGCTAAACTAGATGGCTGGGACCCACGAGCAGCAGCTTCCGCATCTCCTGCAGCTTTGCTCGTGAGTCCTAGCCATCTAGTTTAGCCCCAATCACACAGCATGGGCGCTACTATCGGCAGTGGCGGTAGTCGCCAGAAAACCGCAATTAAGTCGCCGGAAGTGTGGAATTAGCACGCGACTGAGGCCCTGTTTTTGGCCGCCATTGGCCACCATCTTTTGTGCCCGTTATTCAAAAGATAGCTGGTTTGTGGATGCTACTAAAAAAAAAAGCTGCGTTACCGCGCCTTGTTCTGATCGTACTTAGCCGAATTTCAATGGCTTAACAGCCACAAACAGCAGATTTTCGGTAGTTATGTGATATAACATTTTTTTCGTTCCTTATTAGTTTTGACTTCAATTTTTTGAATGTTTACAACACATGACACGTGACTGAGGTTCGAAAGGATATTTTGTGGGCGCCATCTTTAGCGCCCGTTATTCGGAGGATAGCCCACTATTTTATGTCTCCGCTTCTCTCTGGAGATTGGGTTTGCGCCAGTTGTCTATATTAGGGAACATAAACCTTGCAAGAAGCATATGTTTGGGCGGATACCATTTGTCGAAAACATTTCAGTCTCCGATTAATGTTAACCTTTGGGCATTTTGTAAGTGTCTGTGAACTTAATATTGATGATTTCTGCAACAGTCTTCAGCCTTCTTCCAGCTGATACTGGTCCATATCACAATGATGGGTCCCTGTATAGGTTCTGGGGCTCGTAGAGAGGGGATATACCCACTTTTTGCTTCCCTAACAGGAGTCAACTAGTTAGGACTTTGCTTGCAAGATATAGCGCATCTGCCTAAGAAACAAGGAACCAACAGTCTGCATACAAATAAGCTCAGTTTGTAAAACAGATGTGCACGTTAAACTCATGTTCTGGAACAAGAATGAATTTCAGAATTAGATTAACAGCCAGAACTTTCTGCTGGAGTTTACAGCCAGTGAATGTAAGAAGAAGAAAGTACTGATGGTTGAACATCAGCAACACATCTGTTGCTTACTCTTACCTGATGCACAACCATGGGATTTCCTGCTTGACTTATGTCTTGAATATGTAATTACATGATGTTAACCTCATCTTTGCTTGACCCAAGGAACAACGTGTACATAAATAAACACTTATCACAAATAGATTGGCCCCATCTCTCAAACTTCAACTCCAATCTGCATACACAAAGGGGTCCAAGCAGAGAATTCCTTTATCTTTCTAATCACCTTGTTGGTACTGTAGCTACTTATTTCCTGTGTTCCACATTTTAAGGAAAATACATGCACCTCACTAAACTGCCCGGGTAACATTTGCTCAAGCAAGGAATGGTCAATTAAACATCAAGTATTCTCACTGTAAACACGCTTGGTCTTTTTCCATATGTCTGTGTGATACTATGAGATGTCTTCTAATTTATCAACCTGCACTAAAGTAAGACGTAATGTGTTGGAATTCTGGTGTACACAAGGGCTTATTCCAAATGTTTGGCTCTGGTAAGCATGCTTGAAAACCATTAGCCTTTAAATAGTGTTCAATATTGAAGTCGATGAAAACTAATAAAGTGCTGTGTTCCCGGTGAGACATATAAAACAATTTGCTGGCTTCTCTTAAAAACATTTTCGTACAGTATGTTTTAATAATTTTTTTTTTACAGACGAGCCAAGCACAGCATAGCACAGTTTTTTGGAGTGTCAGAGGAGGATGAGAGAAATGCAGCTCGCTGGGAAAAACGCAGATTCAGGATTGCAAGCTCCATTGGACAAGGTCTCAAAGGTGATATTCTGCAGCGAGACATGACTGATGGCATGCCTAACATCACAGATCCTTTGGGGAGGACCTCTAGGCAGATCTCACGCATTTCATCCCTGACTGCTTACAGTGATCGGGGAGCTTTTGGTCACAGGGAAAACAGGAAGCCCTCAGTGTTTAAGATGTCAGTGAAGGCAATAACAGCACTTTCGGTATGCTTTTTGCTTGAATAGTTCATTGATAGAGTGTTTGTTAACCCTCTTAGCACGGACGGGCCGATTATCGGCCGGCGGATGTCTTGCCAAAAACACGGAACGGCCGATGATCGGCCCGATCTTGTTTCGCCTCGAACCGCTAAGAAATCTCCTACTTTGAAACACTGAAAGTGATTCATTTATATTAACTGCGGTATCAGCTTTACACATGGCGACTTTCGAGTGTTTGGTATCGAAGTGAAAATTGTTGTTGAATTTTTTAGATAGTGACCTGAACCGCTAAAAGTATGTCTGACTCGTATGTTTCTGCCCCTAAACTTGATGTTGATAAAACATTTGAATCAAGTGTTGACACTAATTCTGTTGATACTGATGCAGGATTTAGTGTTAGTAGTTATAGTGGGAATCAGATGGGGATGCTGTTGTGTTCAGACCACAGCCCAACCATGGCTCAGGGTATATCCACCCGAAGGTGTTGACACTCCGGCACATCCATTTATAGTGCTGACTGATGGTGAAAAACACATGTCACCTAAAGATATTATTGCTGTTTCACATATATATACCTGTTTTTGACTATTGAATTGCTTACAACATTTGTAAAATGGCCAAAGATCAATAAAAAGATTTCAAATAAAAAAAATTTTTGTTTTTAGTTTTATGTTTCAAGCATTGAAGTTGAAAATTCAAATTCAAATTTTCTATTTTTAGATATGCAAATGAGATAATTTGCATATACATCAATTAATTTTAACGATATTGTGAAAATCTATATCCTTCAAATAAATATATTATTTCATAGGGGTCAGAATAACAGAAACCTGTCAAAAAAATTAAATAAAGTAATAACCAAATTCACTGAAAAAATGCTCCGTGTTTTTGGCTAGACCTCTGAAAAACTTCCCGTGCTAAAAGGGTTAATAATGCCTGATAATCTAATTGCTGTTTTAATCAGTAACCTGTAATATATTGGCTGTTCTCATCCTGGAGATATGGATTTGTCTTTAGTATGTGCATAACAAATGAATATTGCATGCATCATGAACTCTTTTATCTGCTTTTATTTTCTGACTTACTGTGACTCACTGGTGTATTAGAAAAGCCCATTAGGTAGACAGTAATGACACTGTGATCTACCTACCATGCATGTCATAAGACTAAGGAGGGTTGGCATGGCATTGGCTGCATCAAGGATATGCAACTAACCTTTTGACTTAATTAAGAATCAACATCACAGCACTCATGAAATTCCCATATATGCTCTGTCCCCATCTTCAGCATTAAGCGTAAGAGTTTTAGTTCTAGTGGTACCAATAGGAGGATGACTGTTTATCCGTTTCACCTTTCCCCTGACTGCTGATTGTTGACCAGATCCCCTTGTAACTTCTTTGGGAGTAAGTAAGTAAACAGTGCAGAACCATTCTCTTCAGACCATGATGTGTCATCTTTGCTTCTGCACTGTTTACTTACTCCCAAAAGACCCTTACAACATCTAGGTTGCCATGCATTAGTTCACCATCAAGTTGTGCAGAACCAGCTATCTATCTCCTGTTCATTTCCTAATACATTGATATATTCTGGGGAAAATATTCAAAGGATGCTAACTACCTGGGCCCTCTGAAATGATGCTTTCTGTTCTTTACGGAGCATACTGTTCTCCACCTTTCTCAACATGCTCTGTGAGTCGGTCACAATTACGACATGTGTGTAAGCTGATTCTCAAGCCAACTAAAGTCTGCATTGATTTCCTCCACCTCAATTCTCAAACTACATGTTGTGGTGTCATGCCAGGCTTTGTTGCACTAAGCGTCGTCCATTTGCTTTTGCTAAGAACCCAGTTAGCTTTGTCTGGGTTTCAACACAGAGCTATCTGTATAATCACATCACCTGGGCCAGAATTGTCATGAATCATTTGTCAAATTTCTGATTCTGCGGTGCCCGCCGGCTAGTCCTTGCACTAACGGCACAGTGTGATTAGAACCTTGCACAAGTATGACATTTTGCTGGGCCATTCTGACCCACTCCTCTGCTCGGTCACTGTTATCAAGCCTACAAACATCTGGTTGGATCTTCAGCTTGTGCTATCCAAAACCTTTTTTTTTTTCAGTCTGTGACCCTTAGGTCTGTCTAGGACTTTATGCGGGAGATGTTTCTTATCTGCAACTACTCTGAGATATGACATATTTAGTGTATGTGTGAATGATTTAAAGAGCAAAAGAAGATAGGTCATTCCCAGATGAATGTCATTAACTTTTATTTTCTCAGGGTGTCCGCCGAGATGCACGTAGCAAGCGATCTTTCAAAGGCCAAAGTTTTCCTCCAGGAAGTGTCATCCAGACACCAGATGCCACTAGATCGGTTAGTATTTAACAGTTACTCTTGTGTGACCATTGATAATCTGGAATTTATTTTGAAACTAGCTGTACCCAGCCACGCGTTGCTGTGGCCCAGAATGGTGAAATGGAGAGGAAAGAAAATAGCTCTCAGCTAACAGCGTCTGTCATACCCCCCCTTCCCTCGACCCAGTCATATCTCCCTCTCAGAAGGATTAAAAAATCATCACCTGGCGAAATTATTAAAATAGAAAGAGTTAAGAAATGAGAACTTTAAAATAATATTTTAAGCTCTCTCAGCTAGCTGTGTCTGGCATAACACCACCCCCCCCCCCCCCCCCCCCCCCCCCCTTTTCCATCAATCAAATCTCCCGCTGCGAAAGATTGAAAAATCATCACCTGGCGAAGTTAGTAAAATAGAAATAGTTAAGAAATTAGAACTTTAAAATAATATCTTAAGCTCTCTCAGCTAACTGTGTCTGGCATAAACCCCCTCCCCCTTGTCCACCAATCATATCTCCCTCTCCGTAGGATTGAAAGATCATCCATGGCAAAATTATTAAAATAGAAATAGTTAAGAAAAGAGAACTTTAAAATAATATTTTAAGCTCTTTCAGCTAACTGTGTCTAGCATAACCTCCCCCCCCCCCCCCCCCCCCCCCCCCCTTAGAACAATCATATCTTCCGCTCCGACGGATTGAAAAATCATCGATGGCGAAATTTGTAAAATAGAAATAGTTAAGAAATGAGAACTGTAAAATAATATCTTAAGCTCTCTTAGCTAATTCTGTTTTAGTATAATTACTAAAAAATAAGTATTTTTATCATTTTATGGATCATGATATTCTATACTTGTGGTCTGTGAGTGATTTTCGTGAGCAGATGTCTTCTTGATTTGTTGTCTGAAGGGGGAAACATGCAGGAAGGTGAGTGCAGGCTGCCCCAGGTTTTGTCACTGAGGGGGTTGACAAAATGGTAAAAATCTGTGTTTGAAAAAAAAAATTATAAATAAGTATATGTGTGTGTATGTCGACTTTTCTTTGGCTATGGGACGGAGCACTTGTGGGAATATCCCAAAGGAGCAAGGTCAGCTCTTGATTCATTCATTTATGGCAACAGTTATCCTAGAGATGGGAATGACATATTCCTTCGAAGTCGGAGTACATCTACCAGAGAGGCAGGGAACAAGAACTACACACAAATCAGCCAGTAAAACTGATGTTCACGCAAAACTAAGGTCCAGGTACGAAAACAAAGTCCGAATAGACGAACAGCCAGAACTTTCTGCCAGAATTCACAGCCGCTGAACAGAAGGAAAGAAAGAAGATTCATTCATTGGACAGGGGGGGGGGGGGGGGGGGGTAGTAGAGAATTGACAGGCAATGTTCTGCACCGTGTACCAGCTGACCTTGCTACACCACTGGAAAAATGCAATATGTTGATTCAAGCTTGATGTATAAACACATTGTCTTGATCGAAGGTGTGTAAGGATGTATGAAATAAAAACATGATATATAAACAGTTGTTTTCTTCATTAGAAGTCTTAAGGGATACCTGAAAGTGGGTCAATAAACACCTAATTTTCACATTTCTGACATCTCAGATGGATGATGCCTTCAGTCTTGTAGATGATGTATTCTACGATGAGCATCCATCGTCCACAGAAGCCAGGTAGGTAGGTTGTTTACAGTGTGTCAGAGACATTCCAAATTAGACTGAACAAATGTATGATTGAAGAAAAGTTATTTTAAAAAAGTTTTAAAAGATTTAAACAGGCCAGTACATCTTGTAACAGAAATAAGTGAAGAAAAAGTAACGGACCCTTTTCCACACCTACAGTCATATTGGGCTGGACCTATATTTGATAGACCAATGGGCACTTGGTGGGTGATGTGGTCATCATCATGCCAACCGCCTTTAAATCCCAGGACTCCGCCTGGTACCCAGTCAAGGCTGGGTTGACGTGGAAGCCAAGGTCGTTGTTAAAAAAAAAGTCTGGTACAGACACCACCTTGCAACTGAAATGCATCAGATTTAACCAAAGTTAACTTATTATTCTGTCTATTTTTGTGAAGAAAAACATCATATAATGTACAGTGTCCGTGTTATTATAAACATATAAATGAGATGATTTTAGTTTTTAATTGTTTACTTTGGGCCCAGATCTCAACCTACATTAACTGGAGGGCCCAGTGCTCCAGGGTGGAGAAGACGACCTCCTCAGCCACTTCCATCAACCCCCGGAGAAGCCCTGGATATGCCAGATTTTGGTCTCAGCAAGATCAAAGACAAAGTAAGTAAGTAAAGGTCCCTTTACATGCCAGTGGTGCATCGGGCACTCATATATTTATTGACCAGTCAACCTTTGATGGGTGAAGTGATCAGCATTAAGTAATCTGACTTTACTTCTTTATATTTACCTGGTACCCATTTAAGGCTGATCAACCTGAGAGCCAAGGTAATGTTTAAAAAAAAAACAACAACAACATCCAGCTCCTTGCAGATTTTGAACCCATAACCCTCAGATCCACAGGTAATTGTCTAACCTCTATACCACGGCACCCCTCCCCCAAAAAGACAAATAATTTAACTGATTATTAGTCAATGATACATTCATTGACTAACTGTATCTAATTTCATTTAGGCTTGGTTATCTCCTCTGCAGTAAATGCATCAGCAAAAAATGGTTGTGCCAGTTTTATGTTAACTGATGAACTTTCTGAAGCTCATGATGTTGAGCTACTCTGAGTTTAAGTCTTATATATTTACCTGCTGACTGTTGGTGTAGTTATTTGTAGTTCCCTGAGATAACGAGATCAGTCTGAGGGTTAGAATTAATCATGTTTGATAGTGACATCCATCCCCATGTGGCTTCTTTGGCCCCTATGTGGGAAAAACAAGAATAGGTACACTGCTTCCCAAACAAGCATGTCGTGAAAGTCAACCAATTGGGCCTCTTATTTTGAATCTGAGTACTCCTGCCTGAGAGTCAAGGAACCAACTGTCTGCATACAAATATGTCAGATCTGTAAAATGGATGTGCATGCAAATCTCAGGTTCTGAAACAAGACTACTGCCCAGACGCTGATGAACTACCAGATCTTTCCCCCGTGTGGACAGCCCATGAACGCAAAGAAAAAGAAGCAGCAGCAGAAGCGGTATCCATAATGAGTTACAGAGTTAACCATATCTCCTTGTTGTTATTGTTGTTTTTCTTCTTCTTATTGCTGTCCTTTTCGTTTCCTTTTTATACTTTTTTCCTCTTCAGTCACCTTCCTCTTCTTTCATCTCTGTCCTCTTTCACCTTGGTCTTATTCTAAGTAGGTTGTATAATCATTGCATCATAGAAACACGGGTAACTTGACAATTTACACTGATATTCTTTTATGTCCTGGAAGGTTGTTCAGACAGCCATGAAGCGGGACAAGCGACAGGTGGGTGTGGGGATCCTTGGTCGGCTGATGAAACGCAGGTTAAAGAGCAATGTCATGACTAAAGAGGTCAAAGTTCAGCTGGATGACATGGATGATCACAGGTAGAGCAGTGTTCTTATTCTTATAAAATTTATTCATCAGAGACTGTGCCTCATCTTTTCTGTGATAACGAAATCCTCAGAGTATGCTTTTCAAAAATGACCTTGATTCCCAGGTCGACCCAGCCTTGAGTGGCTACCGGGTGCAGTCCCGGGAAGTAAAGGCAGCTGGCGTGATGCTGACCACATCACCCATCTTGTGCCGATTTGTCTATAAAAATATAGGTCTAGCCCTGTATGCCATATATACGCTCAAAGGTGTGGAAAAGGGACCTTTACTCAGAGTATGCACCTCATCTTTTCTTATCATAAAACTAAATCCTCAGAGTATGCGTGTTATCTTTTCTTTAAAAGTAAATCTTCATAGTCTGGTCTCATCTTTTGTTTAAAAAAATATGTCCTCTGTCTGTGCCTTATCTTTTCTTTTCAACAGTACTTCAGCTTTCTTCAAAATTTTTTCTGATCATAGGAATAAGTCCTCACAGTTTTGTGTGTGTGCATGTGTGCTTGTGCGCATGTGTGTGTGCTCGCATGTGTGTGTGTATGGAGGAAGTCTTGTCAACACGGGTACACAACATCCTTACCTTTAATGACTCATTCCCGGTTCAATCAAACCGATTAACGAAAGGGCAGCATTTATAACTCAAAGGCATGGCTGGGCAGACTGTGACCTGCAGGCCAAAACTGGCCCGCTGAGCAGTTTTTACTGGCCCGCGAGGCTGGTATTAAATTACTGTATAATTTGGCCCTAGTATCATAACATAGTAGAACACAAAAACATATGTTTGTATGCAGACATAGAAAAAATTCAGATATTAACATCTAAAAAATTAACCTAAACAGGGATAACCAGAAACTGATTTTGCAAAATCTCAATAATGTGATGTCTGAAAATAACTGGCTTGAACAGACAGACACAGTTAGGAATATAAAGAAGAGCATCAGTGGGTGAGTGTGTCTGGCCAGAGGCGTAGCAAGAGATTATCATCTTAGATTATCCCACAAAATATCGTATTTTGTTTATAATGGAATTTTTTCTGTATGGCCTGCAATCAGGTTGGTTATTCTAAATTTGGCCCACGGACCAAAAAGAGTTGCCCACCCCTGCTGTAAGCATACCAAAGTTCAGAACTTTCTACCAGAGTTTACAGAAGAAGAGATTACTCTAAGGACCACACATAAAAATCCTATTTTCCAGATATGTGGATACTTTCAATTTTAGAACTAGAACAGAATGTTCAGTCTATTAACACAACACACATTATTGAACATGCACCTAGACAGATGCAAATACAAGTTTGTGCACTGCGCTGAGATTCTTCAGACTCAGACTTAAGTTTGAAGTAGTACGAAGCAATTATGGTTTACTACCCTTGTGCCATGATGTTGATCCATTGTTTAACCTAAACCCAAACCTAAGTTTTACAACAATAGTAATGTTTGTGAATGTTATTTTTTGATGTCTATTTCAGGCCATACTTTACCTACTGGGTCACCTTTGTTCAGATTGTAGTGTTCATTGTGTCCCTGGCAGTCTACGGCATCGCTCCGATTGGAATCAGCACGACTATCGAAGCTGCCAATGTAAGACTTATTGTGATAAGATTATATATTATCTGTCATCAAATGAATGATATGATCCATGGAGAATTTGTCAGCCACCTTTCCGTTTTTCAGTCACCTTTTCGTCTTTCAGCCACCTTTCCGTCTTTTAGCCATCTCTCCGTCTTTCAGCCACATTTCCGTCTTTCACACCTTTCCGTCTTTCAGCCACCTTTCCGTCTTTTTAAACAAAAATATTCCATTGTGCTTTATGGAGGCATGGCAGAATAACCCCCCCCCAGCCTCTATAGTATTGTAGCGACCTCTCTTACCTGGCTTTAATAACTCACAAAGAAAGGTAACTAATATTTTTGGAACAAAGCATGCTGCAGAAAATGCTGGGTCAAAAGAGCAGTTCTCCCATGTGGGTTCCACGGCCCTATTATAGGTAAAACAAGAATAGACCCACTGCCTACCTAGAAGCATGTCGTGAGAGTCAACTAATTGGGGGGCTTCCTTCAAAGTCAGAGTGCATCTGTCTGAGAGCCAAGGAACTAACAGTCTGCACACAAATGTGTCAGATTTGTCAAACAGGTGCACATGCAACACTCAGGTTCTGGAACAGGACTGCAGTCCAGAAGTGGATGACACCCAGAACTTTCCACCGTAGTTTACAGCTGGTAAACGCAAAGAAGAAAGAAGAAAAGCAGTACTCTGCCTGTCTGAGATTTTCCCTCCTAGACCAGCTGCCAACCACAGCTAAGAACTTGATATTGATCTGCCTTGCCGTAACTTTAAGTGTTCACACTGCATTTCTTCATCCTGGGATAATGCTAATGCTAAATCCTGTGCCAAAAACCATTGACATGAGTGGGATGTTAGGTTTACATATCAAGTTACCATGTATTTTTTAATGGGAATGAACATGTTGGCACGCTTCCTTCACATATGACTAGAATGGTACATCCTATCTGTCATCAAACAATATAGTGAAGATTAAAAAAAAAAAAAAAACTGTTAGCTTAAAGAAAAGAAACAAATACTGTCCACAGATGTGTAAATAAAAAATTACCATCCTGTTTTTTATTTGGTAACAATTCACACAGTCAAGACATTGTTAAATACAGAGTTTGCCTGAGGTAAAGGTGACACTATACCTCTCTAATCAGTATCATCACCGAAACATGACCAGTTATTTAGGGCAGAAATACAAGAGACCATTTGATTGTGATTTACTTTTCGGCTGTAGAAAACACCAGTAGAACAGAGAAACAAAGACATTAAGATAGAAAGCAATATATTTGATGAAGTGAGTTGTTGACCACTGAGTTGTTAAGATGTAGCTGTATGTCCTTTGTTGTATGTTGTAGTTTTCAGGTTATACATTGTTGTTAACTGTTTGCATAGGTCCGCATGCCTAACTTGGCAATGCAGACAGAAACCCATGTGGAGAGAGACAACTTATGGATAGGTCCTCGGCAGGTATGTTGTCATTGCTTTGAATCCTTGACTTTTTGTGGTTAAAAAGTTAAAGTTGAAAAAAAAAATAGAAACTTTCTTGCCACTGTTATCCTGTATCGCCCAGTCTCTCTACTGAACAGCTAATCACCTGCTGAGAACATTGCAGAAAACACAAACTTTGTAGCTCCGACGATGGATCCCATAAGGATCTCCCTAAACACTGACATGAACTAAATGATGCGGCCATGAAATAAACCCATGACCATGAGGGAATCACTGAATGCATTTTGTGCTATATGGTAGTAGGTCTCAGTGTTTTTGTTCAACTCAGCACAAGTTTACAGTCGTATAATCTTTTGTGCATGTATGTTCAAAGATAGTCCCCTGATATTGTTAGTAGACTTGACCAAGTGTTTATACACTCATGGTGGACGCAGATTTCAGCAAGTGAATATATTTTTTTAATAGTTTGTTACAGGTTAAAAAAAAAAGTGAAAAAAAACAACATATGGCGTTGCAATTATGAACCATAATAAGTTTTCTGCACAAGAACAGCGAGGAAGATGCAGGCCCAGGGGCACTTGTAGACAAACTTTTGAGGCTACTTAGGGCTAAGTGAAGGGCAAGACTGGAGATAGAGAGGATGGCTGAGGATCAAAATGAGTGGTGACAGTTTGTCTCTGCCTTATGTGCCTCTGGTCGCGATGAGGATTTATTGATTGATAAGTTTCCTGAATGTAATATATATTCATAAGCATAGCAAGCTTAATACATCTTGTTTTTTCATCAGCTCTTAACACATTAAAGACACTGTACGCCTTCATGGCATGACAATAGCCAGTGGCAGCCAGCGTGCATTGATCGCAAATTATTCCTTCCCGCGATGCTTAACGGCAGAAGTGGTTTATGATGATGATGATTTTTAACACCCATTTAAGCATAGGCCCCCCGCCAACTAAGGCCAGTCATCCTATACTTTGTTTTGTAATGTATTTAACTCCATGTCCTCTCCTCCATGTCCTCTTTCACATTATTTATCTTTTACTTCTTCTACGCCACGAAAGTTTAGAGAGAACAATAATGGAGGGGTATATGCGTCGGAAGAGAGTAAGAGGAAGGCCAAAGAGAAGATGGGTGAAGAATGTGGGGGATGATCTCCAGATGGGTGTATCGACGTGGGACATCTTGCTTTTAGTCAAGAAGTTTTCCGGAGGGTTGTAATGGGAGCAAGGTTCTGCAAAGGACATGAAATTGACTGACTTCTTCTTTTGTCATCTCACTGATACCAGGTTGTAAACAGTGTCATGTTTTCTGTGTTTGTGTCTTGTGCTCTCGTGTGGCTTGGGAAGTGATTTGTTCACCTTTTTTTTTTAGTTTCAGCTGCACCATTAATCCTTCTCTTTTTTTGGTCTGTCAGTGTAATCTAGACATGGTCTTATTCCAACTTTCTCTCTAATGCTGGTATTCATAACTCTGTCCCTTCTTGTGTTGTTAGTGACCTTACAGAGACAGCTCATTTTGCATGTGGTTATTTTCTGTTCTAGTTACCTATTAATTGTCCATGAAGGTGCTATTAATCACTTGCAGTTTTGCTGGAAGGGAGACATTTGGGTGTGTAAGCAGTGGGGCTAACCTGTAGGTGACAACATTTGCCTTCTGTACTCTGGCTTATATCTCTCTGTCGAGTCTGCCATCCTCTACCTTTATTCATCTTTTCTCTGTAATTCTTTTCTCTGTGTGTGTTTTTAGCTTTCCTTCTATATCTTTTCCTCTATGAGTTTCAGTGCAGGGACAGTCTAGTTATGCTGTTCTCATGTATTCTCAGTGTATATTGTATTCAGAGCCAGGAACATTTCCTGACCTCTTGATTTGTTCAGATTTATCTTTTTTCTACCAAATTTTCAGTTAAGTCATTTTGCCATATTTAATGCTTCTATCATGCACAGGTAGAATTCAGTGTTGTATCTTGTTTTAGGTTCTGTCTTCTATAACCCAGTGGAGCATATCATGCACAGGTAGAATTGAGTGTTTTATCTTGTGTTAGGTTCTGTCTTCTATCCCCAGGTGGAGCATAGGCCCTCAACCCCAGCCAGTTTGTTGTATCCATCACTTTTACATGCAGTACCTCATGTCCTTACCATGTTTTTAACTTCATTCTCTAGTTCTTTCTCCATTTGCTTTTTGGTCTGCCTTTATTTCTCTGCCTCTGTGGGATCAGTGCAGACAATTCTAGCTATATAGTCCTCAGGTTCTCTCTGTGTGTGCCTTGTCTCAAACCAGTGTCTTTTCTTTATCTCTTGATTTACTGGAATTTATTTAGTTCTCTCCCAGAGCTCCACATTAGTATTTGTCATACCATTTCATTCATTCTATTCTGCGCAACCACCAGTTAATATATTGACTTATTTTATTTTATTTTAAGGCTGACCTAATTCACCTTGGTGCCAAATACTCACCCTGCATGCGTGTAGATATTAACCTGAACACAGCTATTGGGTACGATAAAAAGGAAGAGAGTGATTCGGCTTGCTGTATCAGGAACGACGGATCTGGGTGTGTGCAGACTGTCAAAGCTGGATGCAGCGTAAGTGGAGCTCACATTACTTTGGTTTTTCATTTGTTTTTGGCTTCTTCTTCTCAAAGTCCATGGACCATGTGTCTATTCACAACCTTCTTGTCTCGTGTACTTTAAATCAACTCTAACATAGATAATCCTCCCTGTCATGATGTCAAACTGTCCAACGTCTTTTCTCTCGGCCTGTCTCTACCTCTCTTCCCCTTCAACTTTTCTACCGTCACTATGTTTTTTTTTCTCCTTTTCTTCACATGACCAAAGAATGTAGATTGTCTCTTTCTGATGTCGGCAATCAGTTCTTTTCATGAGTCAGTTTCTTTCAAGACATCCTCATTACTCTTTTAATCTGTCCAGGGTATTCTCATCATTCATCTATAAAACCACATTTCCGCAGCTTCCAAAATTTTTTTTATTTACCTACCAACTATCTTTGATTCACTTTATGGCTGGTGAAGGAATTATGTGTCCTATGTCACGAAGGTGTGCTGCAAAACGGGCTCAGTTTGAAGTTAAAAGTTGAGAGGGTCGGCATCCAGAAAACTTGGTGGTCTCGCTTCACAGAATGGCTAGTCGCCTGCCGAGAATGTTGCACAAAGCTCCAGTGACTGTTCCCATGGAACTCCATAAAAACTGCACTTGACCCATGACTAGAGTGCAAGGCAAGTGGCTTGACCACTTTGCCATGGCTTTCAGCCAACTTTGTTGCCACTGTTATTGTTGATAGTCTGTTCAGCTTCATCTTCCCTACTTTAAAGTGAACAGAAACTGGTAATGAGTGACCAAAATAACCAATGCCAAAATGGACATGGACCGTAAGAGATGAGACAAAACTGTGACATAAAATAATAGACAAAAACAAAAGTCGCTATATCTGTTAGCAGTGGAGTTTGTGTAAAAGATAGCAGTTCCGATGATTGTGTCCTATAGGTTGACTACTGTCAAACTGTGAAAGGGAGGGGGGGGGGTGTGGGAGGTGGGCATTTACTTAGGGGTGACAACAGAAAGAAGCTGGCTGTGCCAGCTTTTTGCCATATACACCTAAAGGGGTGGAAAAGGGATCTCTACTTACTTACCAGTCAGGTTAATCCTTCAGGTTAACATTACTTTAAATGTTTTTTTTAGCTAAATATCACAAGCAGCAGACATCTCAAACACAACTCATACCAGAGATCTGTGCAGGAAGATCTGTCCAACACTGAAAGTATAATAAGTAGAAACATGAAAAGAGAAGTGATTAGTGTAATTTAACCTAAATAAACCACTGAGTCAGCTGTTGAACTGTTCATACAGAGTGTGATGATTTGACTTAGTAGTTGGTGCAATTAGGGGCATAATTAAGAATGAAGCATCGGTGGCAAAAAAAAAGTAGAAGAATAAGGAAAACAACATTTTGATTTACTGTGCATGCCAGTTTCAATGTTGTGTAACAGATATTATTCGTAATGATTACTTAATTTTCAAAATAAATAAATAAACGTTATTACCAATCAGGTTGTGAGGAGTCGTGGTGTAGCGGCTAGACGAAATGAATTTGAAATGTGAGTTTGCTGGACTTTTTTCAAAAGTGACCTTGACTCCCAGGTCGACCCAGCCTTGAGTGGGTACCGGGTGCAGTCCCCGGAAGTAAAGGTGGCTGGCGTGATGCTGACCGCATCACCCATCTTGTGCCTTTTGGTCTAAAAAAAATATAGGTCTAGCTCTATGCCATATACACCTAAAGGGGTGGAAAAGGGACCTCCACTTACTTACCAATCAGGTTAGTCCTTCAGGTTAACAATACTTAACATTACTTTAAATGTTTTTTTTAGTGGTTTGTTTCAGAAGTATCTTTCCTATACTTTGCATACATTGTGTGGATGGAGGGCCTGAGAATAACAGACAGAAGTTACTCAGTTAACTCTTTTAGTACCACACAACTCACTGTACATTTATTGATTACTCTATACATGGTACAGGAACCTCATTGGTTTAATGGCTATAGGCCTGCATGCTGTTGCAATGGTTGTGTGTTCAGATCCGAACAAGGCTGGACTTCTTACCCAAAAAAATAAAAATGACCCCGACTCTGAGGTCGGCACAGCCTTAAATGGGTCCTAGTTCAAGTCCTGGGAAGTGAAGGTGGCCGGCATGATGTTGACCATGTGGAGTGCCGATATAGGTCAAGCACTGTATGCCCAGTGTGTCTGACTGGTGGACAAAGGACCGTTACTGTACATGGTGTACCTTGGCTGACTATATCTGTACAATTGTGTTCTGATACCTTCATTCTTTCTATAGAAATGGCAGCTTAGCTCATCTTGTTCCACATTTGTAGTTAGAATCAGAGACTGTTGTTTTAAAGTACATAAACTCATAGCTGGTAAATGTGGAAGTACCACCTGTCTGGTAATAAAAGAATTAAAGTTATTGAGATTAGCAGCTATGTTTGCAGTCTTCACAAGTCATATGATGGTTCTTTTGTCTGTCAGGTGGCCTGGTTGGCTATTTAAAACCAAACAAAAATATCTTATTCTTCTATTGTTTTTAAATTTGTACTGTTACAAAAAATAATGATTATTATAAATCTTTTAAAAAACTATACATTCTTAAAACAGGAAGTATTGTCCGACTGGCTGAAGTGGACACGGGATAGCCCAGGACCCGGTGGAAGGACGAGTGGCTCAGTCTGTGGGCAGGATCCCAGGTTTGACAACTTCTAGTTGTTTCTTTATTTTTTGTTGTTGATGTCTCCTGGTATGTGTCGAATTCTTGTAATAATTGGATGGAGAGAAGCTGGCATAATCATTGGAATCTGCCAAGGTAGACTATAGAAGAAACTTCTTGATGCCTATGTGATGTAAGTTTTGTTGTTTTGTTTTGTTTTGATATCCTCTTTACCTGTTACCATGGGTCCTTAAACATTTTTAATAGTGTATCTTTAAATAGCTACACAAATAGCTCTTTTATTTAAGACTTGCTCTTGGAAAAATATATAATGGTTTTCCCTTTCTCTGAGGAGTGGCTGGCCGAACGGTTAGAACCTGGGCTGTCAAGCGGGAGACCCGGGTTCAAATCCTCGGTAAGGCTGGGGATTTTTTTCTGTCAGGGGCAAAATAAAATCACCTGCACAGCCGTGGCGACAGCACGAGCCATGCTGCCCTAAATCCTCAGGCTCAAAGACCACTCTGCCTTCACCACAATAGTGGTAAAAAAAGCAGTAATTGGCAGTTTCCCCCTCTTTATCATGAAAAACCTCATAGCAACATAGATTTACTGTAGTAATCATTGTTGATTTATTCCTAGCTAAGTGGTTCAATTTATTTTGTTCTCTTACTTAGGTTCTGCAGCAACCCATCATCTACTCCACCTTTTGAGTGGCCACCGGATATCACAGACTGGCCTGTAAGTGGACATAGGAGTTAGGAGATGTTGTGTGAAAGAACATCATAGTTTAAATATTGGCTGTAAAGTTTATTTACTCTGGTGAAGCAGTTGCCTCCCCACTTGTTAATATGAAGGATTGAAATCCCTTGAAACTTGAACCACTGACATCAGGTTGGCAAGTCAAGATAATCTGGATTTTTAGCAAACACAGTTCCCCAAGGGGCTTCCGGGGCCCCATTGTGGGGTGGGGAAAATGACCCACTGTCTCCTTACAAGCATGTTGTAAGAGTAAACTAATTAGGGATGTTTCCTTTGAAGTCAGATTGCATATGCCTGAAAGGTGAAGAATTAATAGTCTGCATACAAATAGGCCGGATTTGTAAAATTGATATGCATGCAAAACTCAGGTTCTGGAACAAGACTAAAGTCCAGAAGGGGATGAACAACCAGAACTTTCTGACAGAGTTTACAGCTGGTGAATGTGAAGAAGGAAAACAAGAACATACACAGTCCTTCCAAGTTTTTTAAATTTGTCTAAGAAGGCTAGACATCTAGTCCACTGTTAAAGGACTTGACATTTAGTCCACTGTTAAAGGACTAGACATCTAGTCCACTGTTAAAGGACTAGACATCTAGTCCACTGTTAAAGGACTAGACATCTAGTCCACTGTTAAAGGACCAGACATCTAGTCCACTGTTAAAGGACTAGACATCTAGTCCACTGTTAAAGGACTAGACATCTAGTCCACTGTTAAAGGACTAGACATCTAGTCAACTGTTAAAGGACTTGACATTTAGTCCACTGTTAAAGGACTAGACATCTAGTCCACTGTTAAAGGACTTGACATTTAGTCCACTGTTAAAGGACTAGACATCTAGTCCACTGTTAAAGAGTTAGACATCTAGTCCACTGTTAAAGGACTAGACATCTAGTCCACTGTTAAATGACTAGACATCTAGTCCACTGTTAAAGGACTAGACATCTAGTCCACTGTTAAAGAGTTAGACATTTAGTCCACTGTTAAAGGACTAGACATCTAGTCCACTGTTAAATGACTAGACATCTAGTCCACTGTTAAAAGATCAAGGGGAGTATACCATTCCTTTTTTTTTTTAAATTTCTATTTGTATTTAATTCGGAAAGCTATTCAAATAGTCAGCATAGGATAAACCAGGTCTGCCCAAGAGGGCAAGATAACCCGTAATCTACTTCACCACTTTCCAGAATATTCACCAGCAACAAGAAAATCAACTAGTTAACCTACCACCTCTTCCTCCTCTTGTTTCTGTCTGACCACACAGGTATGCCTTGATACAGCCAAACCGAACCAGTCATTAGCCAGCCAGAAGGACAAACACATGAACTGTGAGATCTTGGGTCGACCATGTTGTTTTGGCATTCAAGGGGAATGCATCATTACAACCAGGGAGCATTGTGACCTCAAGAGAGGATTCTTCCATGATGAGGCATCTTTATGTTCTCAGGTGATACTTCACATATTTTTGTTTTGTCTTTCCAGTAATGTCTCACTTGATTGTCCAGTAAACTCTGAGTAATACCTTAAATGTGTTAAAAAAAACATTTTATAGTATTTCCACTGTTCTCTTCTAAGTCACATGCAGGCATTCGTTAATTTGTTATATTTTACAGAATATAACAGATTGTTGTTTTGATTGCTTTCAGAACATAATTTTTGTTACCCATTAAAAGATTTTTTTTATAGCGTCACACTTTGTGATTTTGTTGCAGGGTTTCAAATTTTGACATGCTTCATGTTTGTCAGTCAGTCCGTCAATCAGTCTGTGTATTGAAGTTCAGCTATAATGTGAATCTACCCCTTGTAGTTGGTCTTGTTTGTGTATTTAGTTTTCTTCAAGCTCGTCTCTTGATGTTCTTCTCAGTAACCACATTTCTTTCCGCTGCCGGCCTCTTCATGTTTTATTCATATTCTAAGATGTAGTGCCATAAAGCAGAACAGGCTTGACACATCATCATCATTATTCGCAAGTGCCTTGCCTACTGACTTAGGCAATCATGCCTCTACACAATCTACAATCTTTGCAGTAGGTATCAATTCATGTGCTGACACCCCGCAATGACAAAAGACTGTCACAAAAATTTTTACGTTGTCTTTTTTTTGTCTTTTTCCATGGATCTTTACAGTGATCACACGTTCCGGTTTTATTCTTTTCATAATATGACCCCAAAAATGATGGCTGTCTCTTTCTGTTGCTTGTGATAAATTGTATTCGAACCTCCTTCTTCAGACTTTCAGACTTTCACTTTCTCTACAGCAGTTTGATGTTTGATGATGGTTGGGGTATCACCTGTAGAACATGATGCGGCCCACCAAGTAAGGTGATTCCATTGGAACCAGCTTAATATTGCCTGAATACAATTTATTTAAAGGTTAGTTGCCTATCCTTTACAGGACGTTGCAGAACCAACCCCAACAGCCACTGGCTGTTGTGTGGTTTTTCTAGGCATATTTACATCCAGTAGTTTGCCATTGCTTTCTGGATGGTCAGCTTTCTTGATACCACTGTCGAAACCAACGCAAGGCGCATGGCCCGCAGCTGGGATCGAACCCGGCATTACAAAGCGTTCGCATCGACTTAGCCACAGAGCCGACAATTTCTTTAAAAGCATGATTTAATAGAAACAAATGTAGCAGTTCCCTGTGCCTTCTGCCAGTTTATATATGGTTTGTCTCCATGAGCCTTTTTCTAAACATACATACCTTGGGGGTGGAGGGTTTGAGTATTTTATGTAACTAGCTGTCCCACTGGCTAGCTCAGTTCCTCTCAAGTGACCACCACCTGTGTTGGCCCCATGGCCGCTTATTTATTATATTCAAGATAATCACCATATTTAGAGGTCACTTCAGCATTCTTAACCTGGTGGACATAACTACAGGACAGGCACCTACTACAGGACGTTTGACCCATCACGTTATTTATCTCGTTCTTATATTCAGGACAGTGACTTACTGCATAAGATACTATTTATATTCTGGAATGCTTCTTGCTCTGTGCTATCTGATGTTGTGATTGTCTTTAAATGCTTGAATTCATTGACTTGGTTCAGCTTTTCCTCTTGTATTGTATAACAAGTGGTTGATGTTTTTCATCTAAATAACCATTGTATGAGGGGACTTGAAATGAGAACTTTAAAAGTGTGGTAGAAATTAACAGTAACCTGTTCCAGTGCAAGGATTTATAGTTATTTTGTCATTACTCAGTATTTTCAGTGCCAGCGTCTTTTCTTCACCTCTTGATTCTGCCTTTCTTATACCACTTTTGCGGTGTAGGCATGGGGGTCTTTGAGCCTGAGAGCTTACAGCCGCACGGCTAGTGCTGTCGCCACGACTGTGCAGGTGAGGATTTTATTTTGCCCCCGACAGAAAAAAATCCCCAGTCTTACAGAAGATTCGAACCTAAGTCTCCCGCTTGTGAGCCCAGCGTTCTAACCGTTCGGCCAGCCCTCCTCCACCTCTTGATTTACTGGAATTTTTTCAGTTTCTTCCTAAATCTTTGCATTGTTTGTTATATTAAATTGTATTGTTACACATTGTTTTCTTGCTTTTCAACTGTTATCCACGTATGTAATTACACATCCATTGCTGTTTGCTGTTGTTTCCACAGTTGTATGTTGATTTCTGATGCAGTTGTTCATATTAAACAGTTGCATGGTTTAAGTGAATGTGTTTCTTACCCAGGTAAACTGTTTCCAAGAGATCTGTGGAATGATCCCATTTGCCAACCCCAAAAGTCCAGATCAGTTTTATAGATTGTGGACCTCTCTGTTTCTGCATGGAGGGTAAGCTGACATACGTTTTTTTTTTTAAATATCGGTCTCAACTGTCTTCACACTCAGTATGGGGTAAGTTAACTACTTTAAAAGAAAAATTAGTCTGTACTTTCGTTACACTCCATGGAGAAGTTAACATACTTTTTTGAAATATTTGTCTTTATTGTCTTTATTCTTTACGGAGGGTAAGTAAACTAACTTTTGTTTTAAAAAATGTGATCTGCTATCTTCACACTATGAAAGATAAGTTTGCAGATTTTGTTATATTAGTCTGTATTGCCTTCACATTATGGAAGTTAAGTTAGCAGGTTTTGTTACATTAGTGTCTATTGCCTTTAAACTATGGAAGATAAGTTAGCAGAATTTGTTATATTAGTCTCTATTACCTTCACACTATGGAAGATAAGTTAGCAGATTTTGTTATTTTAGTCTCTATTGCCTTCACGCTATGGAAGATAAGTTAGCAGATTTTGTTATATTAGTCTCTATTGCCTTCACACTGCATAAGATAATTTAGCAGATTTTGTTATATTAGTCCCTACTGTCTTCAAGGTTTGGAAGATAAGTTATCAGATTTTGTTATATTAGTTTCTATTGCCTTCACACAAACCAACCACATCTCCCTGTGGCAAATACTGGTAGTTATGTCACCCAGGATACAGGCTAATGGGGAAATAGCCACCCGGAGAGTTTTGGGCCCCGCCAACATTGAAAAAATACTGCCTGAGACTCACCATGTTGACTAATAGATCTGATTGTTCAACACTTGCTCGGTCATCGATCAGGTTACCAAGGACCACCCAATCCATTTCAGAAATAAGTTAGCTACTTTTCAGCAGAGGCTGCACGAGTTGCTGACATAACACCAGCCACATCACTAGTTAATGATTAATATGTACTGCAGACTGATAGCTCTGTGGCTAAGTCAATGCGATTGCTTTGTAATGCCGGGATGCCGGGTTCGATTCCAGCTGCGGGCCATGCACCTTGCGTTGGTTTCGACAGTGGTATCAAGAAAGCTGACCATCCAGAAAGCAATGGCAAACTACTGTACGTAAATTTGCCTAGAAAAACCACACAGCAGCCAGGGGCTGTTGGGTTTGGTTCTGCAACATCCTGTAAAGGATACGCAGCTAACCTATAGACTGGTAATAATGCTAACCTAACTACATAACTGGTGAGTAAACCCTGGTGAAGCACATGGTCCATTACATCTGACTGTCAGAGATGCCGGGAACTGATCAGACAGTCAACAGCAACTGGTTTCCCAAGGACATTCGATCTTATGGGACTATGATGATGATAAAAGATATTGGGAATCATTATTACAGCTGAAAAGATCCATGTGGTGTCAGTGACATTTGGGCAAGGCATGTGGTGTCAGTGACATCTGGGCAAGGCATGTGGTGTCAGTGACATCTGGGCAAGGCATGTGGTGTCAGTGACATCTGGGCAAGGCATGTGGTGTCAGTGACATCTGGGCAAGGCATGTGGTGTCAGCGACAACTGGACAAGGCATGTGGTGTCAGTGACATCTGGGCAAGGCATGTGGTGTCAGTGACCTGGGGAAGGCATGTGGTGTCAGTGACATCTGGGCAAGGCAGGTGGTGTCAGTGACATCTGGGCAACGCAGGTGGTGACAGTGACATCTGGGCAAGGCATGTGGTGTTGGTGACATCTGGGCAAGGCATGTGGTGTCAGTGGCATTTGGCAAGGCATGTGGTGTCAGTGACATCTGGGCAAGGCATATGGTGTTCGTGACATCTTGGCAAGGCATGTGGTGTCAATGACGTCTGGTCAAGGCATGTGGTGTCAGTGACATCTGGTCAAGGCATGTGGTGTCAGGGACATCTGGGAGCCGGACTTTAAAAAAAAAAAATGACCTTGGCTTCCAGTCGACCCAGCCATGAGTTGGTACCGGGTGCAGTCCCGGAAAGTAAAGACGGACGGCGTGATGCTGACCACATCATCCATCTTGTGCGGATTGGTCTATAAAATATAGGTCTGGCCCTATATGCCCCATACGCCTAAAGGCGTTAAAAAGGGTCCTTTACTTCACTTATACTTTCTATGACTGAGTGGCACGTGACTGGTAATATGTTATGTTGTTACAACTGACGCTACTACATTGCACAATTCCATGCAGGCTTAGTCTTTGATGCAGCAGCCAATCCAAGATACATGCACAAACTATCTCCTTGACAACTGTTTTAATGTCTTTTCTGTCTGAACCTTCAAGACTGCATATATGTGCTTTACCAGGTTTTACTTGCCAGTCATGTAGTTGGGTTAGCATCATTATCCATAATGCATATAAATTATTTAGTAGCGATGTGGCCAGTGATATGTCAGTAACTTGTGTAGTTAGTTCTTGTACCCATTTGCTAGTGGTAGGCTTTTGGCACATAATGACATTGGGCTGTGAGGTTTTGGGGCTTCAGATTTCCTAGGTCATGGTATAGGGACAAGGGGTGACCAGTTGCCTTGCTCATCTGTTCTCAAACAGGTAATATTTCTGGTGCCCATTGTGTAAGGCTGGTACTAATTTTTCAAGACTTTTGTTTTGCTGAAAATCTTGACCTGGGCCTCTGTCAGTGCACAGTCACATGTTATAATTAGTTTGTATATTGTATGATTCTGCGGGAGACTGAGCATATGTAATTTTGACTTAGAGTGCAATGATGTAATGACAAACCTTTATTGTGATATATTAGTGAATAACAATAACGATGAGCCTGTACTTCTAGGAGAGATTGTTGTTGTTCAGTCTGTGTTTTTTCTTTTGGCTTCTGGCAGCTTGGTGCACTTGGTTATCACAGTTGCCTTCCAAATGTGGATTATGAGGGATCTGGAGAAGTTAATGGGGGCCATTAGGACAACCATTATATACATTGGGTCTGGAGTGGCAGGAAATCTGGCCAGCTGTACATTTATCCCATACCAAGTGGAGGTTAGTCAACATTTGATTGTTTTCTCTACTCATGTTCCTACTTAAAGTGATATAATTTGTGTCAGATTCTGTGCAGGATAGGATAGTCTTACTGAATGAGAAATGTCATGATATTACTAAATATATGTCTCAACGGTATTAAAAAAGTAAGAATAAGTTACAGCAGACTGGTGTAGTCATTATGGGTACCTGATAACTTTTCTGGAGGTTGAACAGGGTATCTGCCCTGTTATCTTGCCATCCAGATCACAATTTTGTGATTCCAGGGTAAACAGATTTTTGGGTAGCGGACCGCAGGAGAAAAACGGAAGGAACAAAAGGATTTTTATAATGTTTTAAAATATCATTATCATCAGGTGCCTTGCCGTCCAGCGTGGGCGATCATACCTCTCCACAATCTGCGATCTCCTGCAGTATGTATCAGTTTGTGTGTCGACACACCTCCATGCCATGCAACAAGACTGTCAAGAATCTTCTCTTGTTGTCTTCCTCTATCCCTCTTTCCACAGATCTTTCCAGTGGTCACAACATGTTCTATTTTCCCTCTTCTCATAACATGGCTCGAAAAATGATGACTGTCTCCTTCTGATGTCTGTGATAATTTCTTTGGGCTACCACCTCTTTCAAAACCTCTTGGTTGCTCTTTTTGGCTGTCCAAGGTATTTTAAGCATTCTTCTGTAAAACTACATCTCTGAGGCCTCAAGAAATTGTTTGGCCTGCCTACGGATTATCCAAGGCTCACAGCCATATGTTAAAACTGGATGAATATAGTAAGCAAGAATTCTTTTTTTAACTGAATAAGATCCAAGAGCAGCTGGCTGAGGAGTTAGAACACTGGGCTCTCAGGCAGGAGACCCAGGTCCGAATCCTCGGTAAGGCTGGGATTTTTTTTTTCTGAGGACTAAAAATAAAGTGATAACCTGCATGGTCCATGGCAACAGCACCTGTCATCCAGCCTTAAATCCTCAGACTCAAAGACCGTTAAGAGTCCTGATGGGCTTCATCATAGTGGAGACAATGACCACTCATCCCTTTGTTAGCCAGACTAGTGCCTGACTCGTGTTGATCTTGTCAAGGTCTTGGTCACCATCAACCCAGCCTGTGTGGGTTCTAGGGCCCAATTTTGTGTGTGTGTGGGGAGGGGGAGAGAATAGATTTATTGCCCCCTAACAGGCATGTTGTAAAAGTCGACTAATTAGGGATGTTTCCCTTGAAGTCAAAATGATCTGCCTGAGAGGGAAGTTGAAGTAGTTAACAGTTTGCTTACAAATAAGCCAGATTTTTTAACGGATGTACACTTAAAACTCAAGTTCTGAAAAAAGACTAAAAATCCAGAAGTAGGCAAACAACCAGAACTTTCCACCAGAGTTTACAGCTGATGGAGGCTAAGAAGAAGAGAAGAAGACACACCAGTGTGTCAGCAGCAAAAGGGTAGGGGATAAAAGTCTGTGAACAAAGATAATTGTTTGTTTCTGTCTTCCTTAATGCAGGCTGGTCCATCTGGAGCACAGTTTGGCATTGCTGCATGTCTGCTGGTGGAGGTGATACAGAGCTACCAGATGTACAAACACCCACATTGGGCACTGCTGAAGCTCTGCCTACCCTTGTTGTGTTTCTTTATCCTGGGTCTGCTTCCATGGTTTGACAACTGGGCTCACATCTTTGGATTCTTTTTCGGCTTCCTCCTTGCCTTTGCCCTCATGCCTTACATCACGTTTGGACATTTTGACAGACGACGCAAGATCATCACCATCCTGGTGTGCCTTGGAGCTGCCATTGGATTGTTTACCTTGTTAGTCATCATATTTTATGTTGCCCCACTCACTGACTGTAACTGGTGCATTTACTTAAACTGTATTCCATTTACGGCAGACTTTTGTGAGAACATGGCTGTAGAGCTGAAAAAGAATGCAACATACTCAACGTATATTTAAGTACATGTGCAGATATTTGTTGTGGACTGAAAGCTTTATGAAGGACCATTCAAATGTTTTGAAAATCCCGCCTATTGAATCACAGTATTTTGGAAACCAAGTTATATTTCTGTTTTAAAAACAGTGGAATGAAAAGTGAACACCAGTAATGTTCTGTATGTCAGCCATGATGGTGTAGAGGTTAGTGTACTGGCTTACTGACACAGCAACACTAGGGTTCAATCCTCATTAGTGGTAGGGTTTGATGCTTTCCAGCACATATGACTCTAAGGTCAGAACGCTTCAACAAACTATTGTCTGCAGTGTATTCTGGGTGCACTTCTGGCTCTGCCTCAGTTAAAGGCAGACCACGTTGAAGTTTTCGTGTTTAATAAAATATCCAGTTTTTTTTTTCAGCTCTGTAAAGTCAGAAAGAATGTGAGTACTTCAAATACACTTGCTACCACACGTTTCTCCTGGGAAAAGACACGATAAGAAAGGGAGCCTGTCACTCCCACCTCTTGTCAAGATCAGCATACACAATTCACTTGGGGTATCCATACTCTTGTATAGGTGTCTTGAGTTAGAATTTTACTGCATTTCAGTATAAATGCTTTAGAAAAATTCAGTAGCCATGTTAGAAATAGGGAGTTGCCGTGTCAGAGCGGCTAGACCCTCGCTGTGGATCGGAAGGTCGTGGGTACGCTCCCTAGCAGAGTCGGACTTATTTTTAAAAATGACTTTGGCTCTTAGGTCGACCCAGCCTTGAGTGGGTACCGAGTGCAGTCCCGGGAAGTAAAGGAGGCCGGCATGATGCTGACCACATCACCCCATCTTGTGCTGATTGGTCTATAAAAATATAGGTCTAGCCCTATATGCCCTATACGCCTAAAGGCGTGGAAGAGGGTCCTTTACTTTTTTTTAACTTACTTTTAGAGATAAATTCAGTATGCAGGCTATCAAGAACCATGTTCATCTGTGGTGAAATGTTAAAAACTTGCCTAGATTGGACATGTCGCACATCATAAGTTCCCAACCCCTTCTGAGTAACCCCCTCTAAGAACAGTTTAGAGCAAATAAAGAAGAGCAAGGAGTATACATTTCTTGACTGATAACATTAGCAATTAGACAGGATGTTGTATTTCCACACTTGTGCATGTTCCTGAGGGCAGGAAGCAGTGGAGGTCTCTGATTACTAATGTTTCCATGTTGACATCCCTGAGACTCATGCTGAGGATATTAGAATGGGGTGAGATAAATGTTTCTGAGACAGGTAACTTTTTAACCGAAACAGACTTAAGATATTCAGTAATTGCTCTGGTTACCTAGACAGACTTGAGATATCCAGTAATTGCTCTGGTTACCTAGACAGACTTGAGATATCCAGTGATTGTTGTAGTTACCTAGACAAATCCAGTAATTGTTTTGGTTACTTTGACAGATTTGAGATATTCAGTAATTGCTCTGGTTACCTAGACAGCCTTGAGACATCCAGTAATTGTTCTGATTACTTAGACAAATCCAGTAATTGTTTTGGTTACTTTGACAGATTTGAGATATTCAGTAATTGCTCTTGTTATCTAGACAGTCTTGAGATATCCAGTAATTGCTCTGGTTATCTAGACAGTCTTGAGATATCCAGTAATTGCTCTGGCTACCTGGACGGGTTTGAGATATTCAGTAATTACTCTGGTTACCTAGACAGACTTGAGATATCCAGTAATTTGCACTGGTTACCTAGACAGACTTGACTTATCCATTGATTGCGCTAGTTACCTAGACTGACTTGAGATAACCAGTAATTGCTGTTGTTGCCTAGACAGATTTGAGATATCCATTTATTGCTCTTGTTACCTATCAGACTTGAGATATCCAGTAATTGCTGTGGTAACTGTTTGATGTGGTGGTTGTTTTATTTGTTGGTTAACAGCTTCGCTTGTTTCTTTTTTTCTTTTTTAAAGCTTTGTGTCTTTTTTCCCCCCTGTAATTACTGCTGTTTATGGTCATATCATATTTTGTGTTCACATTAGTTTTTCAGCTGGAACTGGTTTTTTGGGTTATTGGATTTAGTGTCACTAATTCTTAGATGCTTTACATGAGAATGTAAATGTTATCTCACTGATTCTTAGATGCTTTATATGAGATTGTAGATGCTATCTCACTGGTTCTTAGAAGATTTACATGAGAATGTAGATGTTATCTCACTGGTTCTTAGATGCTTTACATGAGAATGTAGATGCTATCTCACTGGTTCTTAGATGCTTTACATGAGTATGTAGATGTTATCTCCCAGGTTCTTAGGTGCTGTACATGAGATTGTTGATGTTATCTCACCGGTTCTTAGATGCTCTACATGAGAATGTAGATGTTATTTCACCGGTTCTTAGATGCTCTACATGAGAATGTAGATGTTATCTCACTGATTCTTAGATGCTTTAAATGAGAATGTAGATGTTATTTCACTGGTTTTTTTGGTGCTTTTACATGAGAATGTAGATGTTATTCACTGGTTCTTAGATGCTTTTACATGAGAATGTAGATGTTATTCACTGGTTCTTAGATGCTTTACATGAGAATGTAGATGTTTTTTGGTGCTTTTACATGAGAATGTAGATGTTATTCACTGGTTCTTAGATGATTTACATGAGAATGTAGATGTTATTTCACTGTTTCTTTGTTGCTTTACATAAGATTGTATCTGTTATTTTACTGGTTCTTAGATGCTTTACATGAGCATGTAGATGTTATTTTACAAAATGAGAATGTAGGTGGTATTTAAATGGTTCTGAGATGCTTTACAAAATGAAAATGTAGATGTTATGTCACTGGTTCTTAGATGCTTTTCATGGTAAAAATGTAGATGGCATTTCACTCTTGAGTATGCTTTGTTGCGACAGAGTTTTTTTGGTTTTATTGCCATTGCAGTGACAGGCAGTCGTTGATATAGAGTCATGTTAAAATATTGGACAGTAAATGGAAGGCCAAGTTATTATTTAGTGTACATAATTATTTACATCTGTGACATTCATTTTATACGTGGTGTTTGTTCTGAACCATAAACAATGCAATATCTGTATATTTTATGTAGAAAATTGCATATGACCTTATAGAAATTGATGTGGCATCCAAGAAATATTGTGACCTCAAGCTGATACATGACCTAAACAGGTACATGACCTAAACAGGTACAATTTACTGGACTAGGCAGTGAAAGATTGCCCAAGATTACTGCCAGGATGATCACACATTGACTCACTCTAACAACTAGCTAGACAGCAGCAGCCATACCAGAGGGTTAATGCTACCACATTTCTGTAGGGAAAAAAGCCAGATTATTTTTCACTCAGTGACCCAGTGTAACTGTCATAGTCTGATTTCTTAGTCCTGCTCAGGGAGTTGTGTCTCTTTGACTCTGTGTATTTATTAAAAAAAAAATTCAGCTTTAATTATGTCATGCTCAGTACTCTTTTCGAGTACAAAGAAAGCACTGCTGGCAAATGATTGCCAGTGCTTTACTGCTAATCTGTCAGTGAAAAGGGGATGTTTTGTGAGTACATTTTGATAAGATTGCAAGTGAGTCCCAGAGACATAAACTTGGAAACCACTGAGTTCAGAGATTTTCTGTGTAGTATTCATGTTGATACAAAGAATATATAATTTCATTGTTTACTATTATTGTTTTGGAAGTCTATATTAAATTTACATATTATCTACATGAGCAAGTGGTGTTTTCTTCAGTATTTATTATTGGAGCTGTCACTTAACATCATCAGGCAGAAGCTCCTGTTCTGTCATCGGAACATGCTCAAAATGTTTTTGATCCATCATCAGTTTTCTGTCTCATACACTTACTCCCAAACCAAGAATATCTCTGATGACCTGTACTGTGTGCAACACTAACATCAGAACATGCTGGAAAGATTCTGGATCCTTCATCAGTTGCCTGTCTCTTGCACTAAACTTCCATGCTGATTGAGACTAACATCAGAACATGCTGGAAAGATTCTGGATCCTTCATCAGTTGCCTGTCTCTTGCACTAAACTTCCATGCTGATTGAGACTAACATCAGAACATGCTGGAAAGATTCTGGATCCATCATCAGTTTTCTGTCTCATACACTTACTCCCAAACCAAGAATATCTCTGATGACCTGTACTGTGTGCAACACTAACATCAGAACATGCTGGAAAGATTCTGGATCCATCATCAGTTTTCTGTCTCATGCACTTACTCCTATGCCAAGAATATCTCTGATGTCCTGTACTTTGAGTAACACTAACATCAGAACATGCTGGAAAGATTCTTGATCTGTAATCATGTGTTCATCTCATGCACTTCCATGCCAAGAATCTTATGTCCTGTGCTCGGTGCATCAGAAGGACAGCTGCCATTTGGAGAAAGACTAACCTAAGTCAAACAGGATACAACCTGGTACAATTGAACCCTTTCATCTTCAGTCACCTGCTAAAGCAGGATTGGCTTAGTAATATCATATTGTGCCTTTGAAACAATAAGCTAGATGGTAAAATAGTCCTTTATGAGCAAGTGAACAGAGTGGAGCACAAACAGGTCATTATGGTCTAAGAAGAATGGGGCTGCAAGGAGTGAACAGGGGATCTGATCGATGCTCAACACTCAAGGGAAAGGTGAGATGGATATACAATGAGAATCTTACTGATACTATCGGAACTTTAACTCTGTGCTTGCTGGTGAATCTAGGAATGGAGTACTCATGGGAATTTATGAGTGCTTCGATGTCAATTCCTAATTCAACATTTAACATTGAAACATAAAACATGTTTTATTAGTCTCAGTCCCCTTCACCTGAGAGTCATGTATCTCATTGTTCTAAAACTTGTAAAGCAACAGACTGGTATTAAGCACACATTTAACAGTGTGCAGTTATCATGTCTACCATCACAAGGACTGATGTTCCAGCCCAAATATGTTGAATTAAGAATCAACATCAAAGTACTTGGGACACTCCAATAAGTGCTCAGTCCCCATCTTTCAATTCCAA